TGTTCTTTTAGAGAAAAAATTCAAAATTCAGGAAGTTACAAACATCTTTAAACAAGTTCATTTAAAATATGAATAAATTTCACACTTCTCTGCCGCTTTAGTGATTGTAAATTGGCGGTACAGTCCAAAGTAGGACTGCAAAGGTTGGCCCAGCTTGGATATTCAAATGTACACCAGTGGGGCGTGATTTATGATACATTATAAAAAACCATGTGGTTTTTGAAAAAAATGTTTAACTTTGATTTGAAAGATTTAATTCTTTAGCTGAAAAAGTTATTTATTTTTTAACGTTACCAACAAAACTTGAACATCTCTAAACATGTAAAACATATTTAAAGGAAGTGACCGGCTATGTAAGGTAGTTGAACTGAGTATGCAGTGTTGTGGAAAACTTCTTTCGGATTCATTTGAGACATATTAAACTTTTTAAAGAATTGTAAATCCTGAGTTTGAGCGCAAATTCGACGTTAAAAAACTCCTACTTTCAGAATTAGTTTTTTTAAAATTATTAAAAAAAGACAACGAAAAATAAAGTAAATATTATACAGTGTAATCTAATTAGATGGTTAGGAACATATTTCTCAAAAGAAATTTGCCAATAAATTAATGCTAAATTTAATTATTTTGTTTTCATCACTATATTGAATTTCTTATTTTCTTTTGATTTATTCGCATATTTCTTCAAATTCTACAAAAGTCGTCTTTTCAATAATAATTCTAGAAAATCTGCAGAAAATCTTTGTGAATAATGAGAAAATAGAAACTAATACTTGAACAAGATTATTTATTATCGATGATAAGATTAATTTTTATTTTCTCAACATGTTACTATACATGGCGTCTGCAGTTTATTGTAGAACTTTTTTACATTTTATGTCGTCGTTATTTAATAATTTAAAAAAACTAATTCTGAAAACGTTTCTACCCCCAAAGTAGGAGTTTTTAACCTCTAATTTGCGCTCAAACTCAGGATTTACAGATCTTTAATAAGTTTAGTACGTCCCAAATGAATCCGAAAGAGGTTTTCACAACACTGTTCAACTACCTTACATAGCCGGTCACTCCCTTTAAAACATATTTTAATCTTTCATTCAAAATCCATCAAAAAAAGCGAAACTTTATGTACTTAATTATTTAAAGTACAGCGCCCTTTAAAATAGGATAAAATAGAAAATACGAAAAAAATGCATTTAATGAGTGAATATGGGTTCAAAATTCAGACAGTCTGGACTTCAAGTCGGAACTGTGATGAATATGTATGAAAATAGAGAACATGGAACCCCCACAACGCCTTTATTCTAAATAATTTCTCAAAACGTTTATACATATTTACAATTTCTTTATTTGTCTAAGGAGGGAGGGGGGGGGGTGGAGAGAGGTGCCCCCACATGTGTTCAATGCTCAGCCCTGGAAAACAAATTGATTTAAGAAGGTGGTTTGTTTACTAATAAAAAATAAATAATAAATGAATACCGTGATTAGGAATAGTTTGTCCATTGTATTGTCTGCAGAGCTACTAGACGTCAACTGAACATTTCAAGATAAAACTGAAGTTTTTATGTTGGAGAGAGGACTACGGTTCGAGTGCAGGGGACCCGGTCTTAAGGCCTTGATACGGTGAGTTGATATTCAGAGGCGTACTTAGGGGGGGCTATGGGGGCTAAGCCCCCCCTCTGAACAATCGAAATTTTTTGATTTCAGGGGGTTTTCAGGCCCCCCCCCCGGGGAAAAAAATAAAGCCCCTCCCAGGATAAATTCCTGAATAAATTCCTTTATACTTATCTATATATATTATACATATAAAAATTAACTACAATATATAAAGTAATACATGTATCTAAATATATAATTTGCTTGTCTGTCTGTCAATCTTTGTTTGTTTGTATCCAATAAACGTCAAAACGGCAGAACCGATCAGGCCCAAATTTTTTTGTGGGATCTCAAATGACCCCAGGGAAGGTTTATGGTCTATGAATAATCAAAGTTTCAAAAATAAGCCTCCTGCAACAAAATTCGATTTTCATTAAATTTTGAAAATTCACGAAATTTTATTTTCTAAAATCCGCAAACTTTTATTCTTATTGTTTTACATTGTATACAAATTGTTACAATATGTATACAAAGAGAAAATTTTAGACTGAAACAACAAATTTTTTTATCTAACCCACATGGGCAAAAAAATAAAACATTTTTGTGAATCTGAAATTACGGAATTTTTTTCTTCTTTAAAATCATCAGTTTAATTAAGATTTAAGATTAGTTTTACTTTAGAATCGTTTTTTACGTCTGAATTTTAAAGATTCATTTTTAAGATTCATTTTTAAGATAGGTTTGAGAAATTAAGTAGTTAAATAGGCCAAAAGTGCTGTAAACTGTAAACTGTAAACTGTAAACTGTAAACTGTAAACTGTAAACTGTAAACTGTAAACTGTAAACTGTAAACTGTAAACTGTAAACTGAAAACTGAAAACTGAAAACTGAAAACTGAAAACTGAAAACTGAAAACTGAAAACTGTCAACTGAAAACTGTCAACTGTCAACTGTCAACTGTCAACTGTCAACTGTCAACTGTCAACTGTCAACTGTCAACTGTCAACTGTCAACTGTCAACTGTCAACTAACTGTCAACTGTCAACTGTCAACTGTCAACTGTAAACTGTAAACTGTAAACTGTAAACTGTAAACTTCAACCAAAAACTATTCCATAACATGCAAGAATCGTCAATTTACAGTTCACTAACTTGATAAGTATATTTTTTTAAAAATAATTTGGTACAAACAAACAAACACAATGCAACTGTAAGCATATAGATTAGGCTTCAGTGGCGCAACTAGGGGCAGGCGAACAAGATTGTACCCCCCTCCCTCCCCTCGGCTCTACTGATCATGCTGTGGACCATCTTTCATAAGCTTTTGTCAAGCAAGAAAGCAATTAACAAAAATTTATTTTGTCATTTTGTGCTTCATTCAGAGGACTACAGAACTACCACGAAGTCTTTATGGATTATGGACAGACAAAAAAGGATGACAAAATGTTTTAAAAAAACTTCTTATTTTAGGACTGCATAGGATTACACAGGCCTAGATCATGTTTTTAATACAGGAGGGAAATTGTATAGATATGACTCAGAGTCAAATCGTTCCTAAGCAGCTTTACGTGATACTTCTGTTAGAAGTTTAAAAAAAGTACTAGATGAAGGGGTTTCTCGGTCAACTGTAGTAGACAATGAGACCCATAAAACTGTGGAATAGGAGGACGTCTTCTAAACAATCTTTTGTGATTTTGATGTTGTCATAAAAAATAGTTCCACCTAAAGCTTGAAAATCGACCTATATAAGTAAACTGGGGTTGTGTGCTCTGCACAATTGCTGTATTACATGTTCATGGGACTATTTAAACCTTTTCTAGAACGCTAACTTTTAGATGGTAGAGTTCATGTCCAGGAATTGGTCTGTTTGGTAATTGTATCCAATAAACGTCAAAACGGCTGAACCGATTAGGCCCAAATTTTGCATGGGACCTCACGTGGCCCCAGAGAAGGTTTATGAATGATCAAAATTTGAAATATTTGTCTCCATCAAAATTCGATTTTCATTCAGTTTTTGAAAATTTTGAAAATCCACAAAATTTTTGTTAAAATCCACGAAATTTTTTATAATCTTTGATTTAAGCATTACATTTCTTTTTATCAGATTATGATAATCAAAAATTTGACATTGAAGCTAATCTGAATCTAAAAACATTTCCAAAAAGGGTATTGCTTAAATCAAAGATTAAAAGAAAATAAACTAAGTTCAATTCATAATGAATTTCAAAATAGCCTTCTTTCTGATAGAGTATCATCTCGTCTAATTCCAGAAAATGTGGCGCTTGATTTTAACAGTTAGAGCCGCAACATAAATTGCCTCGTAAGCAACCAGGACTAGGGATTAATCAAGTCTGTTAAGTCCTTAATATTGAGTGCAATTTTCATAAATTTCCGGAAAGTTTAGCTACTGAACCAGACATAAAAAATTATTAATCTTATTTTATTGACAACTCCAACACTTCCAACAGTTCCGCACTTCCACACTTGAACACTTCAACAAAAATGGTCGCATTGATATATGTTTCGCTACAACCGGAATACAGGATTTGTACATGAATATTTAAAAATATGTCTGCACTGCATAAACTGGTTTTAGGGCTAGGCCCGGATTAGACGAGATGATACTCTATTTTCTTCTACATCAGAAATGTTTCATTGTAAAACATAGATATTATAAACCAGTTTTTGAGTCAATTTAAGTAACAAATCATCACAATCAATAAAGAACTCTAATCTTTAGAAAAATGTTTGTGCCACTATGTCAAAAAAATTTTATTTTTTTCTGATTGCATGTAAAAACCAAGAGTTATAAAGAAGCTGTGCTGCACATCAGAGGCTTGTACTGCACGGTGGAGGATCATAATGCATAGCAAATCTGGGAGGCTCGTGTCTGCAAAGCAGAGGCTCATGGCGGCCAGGGGTTCTCTCCCTCACTGGTGGTGGCATAAGATAGGTTAAGGTCGATGGGTGGAAGTAGGACCAGGGCCGGGGATAAAAACTTGAAGATTTGACCCAGTTTCCGGGCCTATTAGGATAAGCGAATTCAAGGATATTCAGATGAATATTTCATCTATTGTACCATTTATTATACCATAAACTGCCCCTTCTGTTTCATATTTCTTGAAAAATGTTCTGCAAGGTTAGCGTTTAAAATTCTTATTCGTTGAAAAAAAAAAAGTTTCACAATTTAACAATTTTGACTGCCAATTCTATATTAGTTGACATAATATTTTCTACTAGTTTTTCCATCGGATTTGGGTCCATGTTCCATGTCAATAGTTGAACCATGAAAGTGGCAAAATATTGTCTCACATTGACTTAGTAACTTGAAGTCACGAGAAGACCCTGAGATCTTAATAGAATCCATTTTTTTTCGTCCCTTGACTGAAGATTCGGGTATTTAGTTTTAAATAGAAATGCAATTTATCCTGCAATGTAGTGAAGTGCCTCTACACTTTATTTATCATGTTCATCATCATCAGACTCTTCATCCTGATCCTCATTGTAGATAACATTGTTGAATTCTTCAATATCATTATATATGAAGATTATATGAGTAATCTGATTTGTTAATTCTTTAAAAAGACAGTTCTTTCCATCTACATCATTATCCTGAAGACCCTGCATCCTGTCTTCCTGAAGATCCTGCATCCTGTCAAACTCAAGTTCCCGTATCCTGTCTTCCTGAAGGTCCTGCATCCTGTCTTTCTGAACATCCTGCATCCTGTCTTCCTGAACATCCTGCGTCCTGTTAACTTGAACATGCTGCATCTTGTCTTCCTGAAGATCCTGCATCCCGTCTTCCTGAATATCCTTCATCCTGTTAACCTGTACATCCTGCATACTGTCAACCTGAATATCCTGCATCCTGCCTTCCTGGAGATCCTGCATCCTGTCTTTCTGAAGATCCTGCATCCTGTCTTCCTAAACATCCTGCATCCTGTCAACCTGAACATCCTGCATCCTGCCTTTCTGAAGATCCTGCACCCAGTCTTTCTGAAGATCCTGCATCCAGTCTTCCTGAACATCCTGCATCCCGTCTTCATGAACATCCTGCATCCTGTCAACTTGAACATCCTGCATTATTCTGCATCTTGTCAACCTGAAGATCCTGCATCCTGCCTTCCTGAAGATCCTGCATCCTGTCTTTCTGAAGATCCTGCATCCCGTCTTCCTGAACATCCTGCATCCTGTCAAACTGAAGATTCTGCATCTTGTCAAACTGAACATTCTGCATCCTTGCTTTCTGAAGATCCTGCATCCTAGCTTCCTGAGCATTCTGCATCCTGTTCACATGATCATCCTCCATTTCAGTCGCTGGATTTTGAACTAAATATTCAGCATCTTTCCCTAACAACAGATTCTAACTCTATCCATAGCTTCTACAGGACCTGGGTGGTTGTTGTTCCCCCCAATTCCTCGCAACCTGGAGAAATATTTCTCTCGACAGCATTGGTTTAATTTTGCAGGGAGTAAAAAGTTAACACCTTCATTTTTTTCAGTTCTTTGAACAATGACATTGTTGACTGTATTGAAATGAGAATTCCCTTTTGAAAAGGTTTTTTTTTGTTTTCTTTAACATATCATCACAAAATCTCATATCTTCCACCATTTTCTTCATTTTTGCATCTTTTTGCAGTTTCCAAAGACTGCTTTAATCTAGAATCATACTCATATTTGTTTTTGATATCTATTTCACCAAAGCACAATTTGCAATTTCTTTCACGTGAGTTGCATCCAATGAGCTTCTTCTCAATGAAAGAAAGAAAATTGTTATTCAGACCAGTAGGGCTGGGCGTCATTCTTGAAGAACGATCGTTCTTTCACTAGAACAAACGGAACTATCAAGAACGATCCCATCATTTCGAAAAAAACCGAACACAAAGAATGCGTTTAAAAATATTGAAACGGAACGGAGAAGAACGGAACGGAACAGATATAAGCTAAAAAGAACGTTTAGAATCAGGAACGCATTCAATTATCAAGAACTAGTTCTAAGTCAGGAACAAATCTTAAATCAGGAATGTATGCTAAATCATCTAGAAATAATTAAAACATTTTTTTAGAGAGATAGCAATTCCAGATCATTCATGTTATTATTTTGGGAATCCACCATAAAGTATAAATTTAATACCAACAATTCAGCATTGGGAAAGTTAAATTTTGTAGCTTGGATCCTGAAGATATCACACTTGATTTTACTCACATATTTTGTGAGTCCTTTCTTCCACATTGTAGCAAGACCCCCTTTACCCCGTCCAGGCTTAACCACTGTATCCTCTTTGAATGCAGGCACGATATACATATCATGAGTTTTACCAAAATATTTCTTTAGTTTGTTAGTATTGATGTGTTTCCGATGCCCTGAATCCAAAAGGAAGTGTTCTTGAATGCATAAAATGTCTGAGAACAAAGATAGCAAACTTATAAAGTTCTGTTTATCAATTCCCATACCCCCACTATTATAGCTAGTTAAGCACAAAGTACTAGCTGTATCCATCATTGTACTGCTGTTGCACCACCAGTAGCATTATTCTTCTCTACACTCTTGGTTCCATTTTTATCAGAATCTGATACACTTGTGGTACCATTTCTATCAGAATACCGCTTCCTATAATGGATAAATTCACGATAATGAAAACTAAAAGGACCGTTCACGTATATGGGTAATTTCAGGGTACACTAAACAGCCTATTTTCTGTTGATTGGTATTAGTCTTACTTTTCAAAGACAACATGTGGCTGGAGAAAAAGCAGATTTTTCGTTCAGAATTCGAGCGAAAAGGTATCTACAAATTGTACACCCCCCTTTTTAAAGATAAATAAAAAAATTGATCAATAAAATGTGGTGAATACCACCTGCAAGCTTTTTAGAGCTAATAAAACGGGTTTGTAATTTGAACTGTTAAGTGTAGATGCAACCGTTCTCTTCTCATTTACATAGTTAATAACATTTTAGTTTACATAACAAATTCACTTTATAATTCAGAAAATTAAAAATAAATATGTATTTTTAATACTTAAATAGTGTAAAGAAATTAACAATTAGAAATGATAAAATTCTCAGCTAAAAAATCGAGTTTTTGCCACAATTTCTGATGTTTTAATCCTTATATCTTTGCAACCTAATGTCTAAGTCCTTACATTTCATACTATGAATTCTGCTAGATAAAATAATATTAGTTTATTAAGTCACAACATTAGGTTGCAAAGATACAGATTAATTAAAATTCAGAGTTTGTGGCGAAGACTTAATTTCACTGATATTGATTTTAAGACACATAAAAAAGTAGTGTTTCATATCACATATATCAGACTATAGTCATTAATTCTGATCCATTAATCGGATAATATTATTTAAGAATTCAGTTTTATGATTATATTTATGTTAATAATTCTGATCCATTAATCGGATAATATTAATCCCAAATATCCTCTATTGAGATTTGGGAACAACAATTCTATCCCAAATATCCTCTATTGAGATTTGGGATCAACTATTCGATCACAAATATCAGATACTCCGGGTAGAGCCAGAAGCAAACTAATCACAGGCACCTGGAAAATATTTTTATCAATATTCATTTTCATTAGAAAAAAATGGATTTTAAAGTAAATGTTAAAAAATATGAGAAGTTAAATTATGTTAATAGTAATATTAATATTACTTGTGACTTGTCACTTTTTTGAAAAAACAAAACTTTCCTCAAATTTGGATTTTTTGCATATTATTGCCATAGTTGTTAAAATGATTCCTCCCCTCACTGATAGAGACTGTGCAATGTGCATGTCTGATTCAAATCGATATCCTCTCAAGCTTGGTCTGATCAAGAATCAATGAAGTTTTCATGTTTTTCTCTATGAAAATTACTTCCACTCAATTTTGATTTTTGGAAAAAGTGACTTGCGTATTTCTGCTGCAAAAACAATGAAGGAAATTGTCAAACTTAAAAGTTTTCAAGCTAGAAGAACGACAATAACTTACATTATTGATAAGAATAATGTTTAAAGGATCCCTATCATTGTGAATCGAGTATGCCACAGGCCAACCTTTAAACGTGACAGTACGAGTCCCTTAAAGGGAGTGTTTGCAAAAAATGAAAGGGCGTATTGAAGGCTAACGTCAAAAAATATTCGATGGTGATTGCTACTGATCTTACTTCTATCTGTTGCGTCTATGAGGAGAAAATTGTTAAGAACGACTCACACCGAAGAACGTAGCGTCCATACAAATTTCATTTTTCGCGACCACTCTCTTTACAGAAACAAATTAATGCCACTAACCTGTCTCAGGAATGATATGGCCATGGGGAAAAATCCTCCGAACAAAGCGACAAACCCGTAGGCTTCAATAAGCATTCCAATGAAGGGATATCCGGAAAGCAAAACTACTATTCCACCCAGGAACGCAGCGCTGCCCTTTTTCCGCTCGGGCTGAAGGAAGAAAGAAGACGACTTTTCCAGACCCATCACACATCCTAGTCCTAGAGTAATCATTTGTTCATCAATCCTTAAACAATTTCAAGCCAACTTGACTTGAACGGAGGGCGTTATAATACATTCCTCATCAGTCAAATGGAAATGTCAACGGTGTTCCACTAAAAATGACAATTCAAGGAGGGCTAAGTTTATCATGGACTTAAATGACTTAAAATCAGTATCTCATGTTTCGTGCGACACACTTTATCTGCAAATGATTGTAACAAGCTCATCCCGGAAAATTTGAATAATTAAGAGTAAAAAATACCAAAGATTAAGACGTTAATAGAAAAAAGTTTAACGTACTTTATTTCCGAAACTTTTCAATCTTAGCGCTATGCTATGAATCCAACATTCTAAACAAGCAAAACATATGAAAAATCTTTGAAAAATGAATAAAATAGGGGGGGGGGGGAGGGGTGATTTATGCCCTGTAAAAGTAAAGTCTTGACCTGCTAGGCAGAACAGGTTTCCTATGGCAAGAAGACCCTTGTCGAAGAGAAGTAGAACGCCTAGGAGAAGAAAGAATACTCCAAAGCTCGAAAGCCCAACTCCCAGTTTTTGCATATTTGTAACTTCCATCTGAAGAATAAATAAAACTATATCATGTAAACTGCACTAGACAGACTTCTTGAGGTACAAACTTTAAAACAGGTTTTCAAAAATTACATCATTTTGAGAACTGCAAGAATTTATTTTATTTGAAAACTGATGAGTTTTTTATTTGTTAAATTAGTGATACATCGGTAAACTTGCCAGTTGCATAATTTTGCAATATATATTATATTTTAATATACAGGGTTACTCCTCAGAGACGACTTCGCGGAATTTATACTGTATCTTTACTAAAATTCATTTTGCTGCAACTGTAAACTTGTTTCTTTCTTTGCAAAATCAGTATTAAATCATCAAATACTTCATTTATCCTTGAGATCGCCAAATCAAATGAGTTTTTATCAGTCTCATCTTGTGTGTGTAACCAATAACCATGTATACAAAAATCAGTTTAAAGTCTCGAAAAATTCACAGCAATGCTTAAAAAAAATATTGAAAAAAAATACAAAAAAATAAATAAGTATTTAACAAATAAATTGTAATGCACTTTACACTGTACAGCAATGTACTGCACACAGTACAGCTTATCATGTTGACCGGAACTATCGAAATCTTGGATCTAACTGTCCGTTCTGCATATGCCCGTACTCAAACTGAATCCTTAACATTTAATATTATCATCATTAACATTGCAGTTTTACAGTCAAAGTGTAATATCATGTAGGCTATGTAACGTAGAGCTTCATGAATTGAAGATTTTCTCGCATTATTATTATTATTATTAAAGGACAACCCATCATTAAATGAAGTAGGGGTCGGCGCTCCTTGTATTCCGAAATGATTTCACACGGAGATTCAACCCAGCACTTTATTAAATAAAAAAAAGATCAACCATCATTCCGTGGAAATCAAGGTAGAGTCGCCTTAAAAAATAACTGCCAAAGGACGGAAACTAATGTAACACTCTCTTGGTAACTCTTTTTATTGTTAAATATGAATAAAATGTAGATTATTCATTTTAACTAATTGCTAATTTAATAAACATTTTATTTTTAAAATAAAATAAATAAATTTATTATATTTGTAAATACGTTCAAATATAAATACTTTCAAATCTAGTTTTTATTTCACACTCGGTCGGCCATAACTTCTTAACAGAATATATATTTTTTTATTAGAAATGTTATTTACTTTATATCTACTTATTTCGCAATTCTTTCACTAATCTAATTCTAAGCTGACTAGAAAAGGAAAGAAAATAATGATGTTTAAAACTTTTATTCTGTTAAAAACATAATAAATTATCTATTTTGACACACAGATAATATTTAAATATAAAAAGAGTTGGTGGTGTTTACTTGAATGTGAATGGTTTCCTTTCTTGAGTTAGATTTTTTAAAATAAATTGGTGGATTTCTCAATTTCTTCTGATCTTCCATTCGTAATGAAGAACTGAAGTTTGCGGATTTTTCATTTTCTAAGAAAATTGCTGATTTTTCTAGGATATCAGGATTTACAGAAGTTTGGTTTTGAATCTCCTGAGATTCAAGATTTTCATTAGAACTCTTAAATCCTGAGTTTCTGGACGGTAATGGATATATTTCCATATTCTGCTGCTCTTTCCTTGTTGTTTTTTTGCAGTACACCTTGCAGTGCACTATCAGTAGAATGATGAATATTATGATTAGTACAACGAGAATGGGGACTTGATATTTATATTGAAAAAATGAGTTTTCTTCATCTTGATTTTTAATTTCAAAATCAGCTGCAACAGCTTCAATATTAGATATGTTTAGTGATGCTTCATCTCTAAATACAACTTGGTTGAAAACATATAGCTTCTGTTGACAGCTGACATTGTACACATGTACAAGAGCATGTACAACTAGAATAAGTAGGGAGTGATTCATGTTTACACCTCAAAGGTTAGTTTAGAACTAAATATACATATAAAAGATCTTTGTATTTATGTGAGTGAGAATGACCGCCAGACCTGTTTGACCGCTAGGTTGCTGTAAACATTAAACCTTTACGACCGCAGATTACGGTCATGGACATATCACGAGTTTAATATCTAGAGGGGGGGGGGGGGAGGCCGAGAAAAACATTAAAAGCAGTTTAAATACATCTTACTTTTTGGCCCAAGAGCCTTTTGAATTAGTAAAAAAGAATAAAAAAAACCTAAAAACAAATTAACGATAAGTAATTAGAGTAAATATGTTAAATTGTGTAAGATAAAATATATCGACTGATGATACCTACTAGGAAAGCTGTGTAACCCTTAATAATGTTTCGTTTACTAGAGTTTAGAATCTTTTAGTTTTGATTGCATACTTTTGTACTGGGTTAAAGAGACATTCTTGCAACACAAACAAACATCATACAACGTTTTGTAGAAATATGAAATAGCCGTTTGCCGGTTATAAGAATATTCTAGAGTAGACATAACGATCATTGCAGTGTTAATTCTTAACAAGAACTATTTAAACTTTTTCAAAATATGTATGATTCTCATTTATCCTAGTGCCTTTAGAAGAAAAGGAGTAGCCCATTTTAAGAGGGGTTTGGGCGATTCACTACGGCACCCTTTAAACCTTAATTTGATAAATATCGGTGGAGATATTGTCGATTTTTAACTAGAAAAATGATCATTATTGACAATTTCTTTCACAATTTTCAGTTCAAAAAACCATGGATATACCATTCGATGGGTACCGTTGTGAATCGAACATACCACTCTAATATAAAATCTCTTTAAACACTGAAATTTACCTTAGTTCCCCAATCTTGGTGGTTGGTAGTAGATCTGGAATCCATTCTATATCAAAGGTGGAAGCTCCCTGGGGTTCAAGACCAGTACTTCCAACCTTTAAGAAGGTTTTCAGCTCATGGGCTTTAATCTTGTGCTTGCCAGGAACCTTACTGAACCTGTCACAAATATTAAATAGAAGAAAATATTTTATATTCCTACTTTTATCATGAGTAGGAGTATATAAAAAAACTGAGATACTTTATATGATCCCAACCCTAAATCTGGTTCAACCCTGAACCCTACCTATCTGAGTGAGGAGAAGGAGTAGGATATTAAACCTGAACCTAACCCTAGCTATCTGAGTGTAGAGTGAGGAGTAGGATAATACACCTGAACCTAACCCTACCTATATGATTGAGGAGTATAGGATATTAAACCTGAACCTAACCCTACCTATCTGATTGAGGAGTAGGAGAAGGAGCAGGGGAAAACGATCCATCCTTGTTTTCAACAAAAATTCTAACAGTCTCCAAAGGTACTAAAAAAATATTTTAAAGGAACTTTAAACGTAATTTTAATTGACCCTCCAAGCGAAGATGACAATGCCAGATTCACAATGGTACCCTTAAAACCTTTATATTGTCACTAATGTGGAAGATATCGTCATTATTCTGGGATTAAAGGTGTTAAGTTCCGATAATTCCTATATGGGTTCCTGCAGTAGAAATGCGCATGTCTCTTTTGTAGAGAAATAACAATTAAAAATAATTAGCTTTAAAAATTATAAACAGTGATATAAAATTCATATTTGATCAGACAAAGCTATTGAGGGTACCGTTGTGAATTGGGCACAGACTTGGATGGAGGGTTAATTAAATTACGCTTACAGTCCCTTTAAAGTTGATAAATGTGAATTTAATTTAGGCCTCTTTGTAATTCAAAACACACTTGGGGATCATTTCGTTATTAATTTTTCCGAGAACAAGAAAAATCCATTGTTTAGGACCAGCTGTTATGAGCCTGCGGCGTTTTTGGCTTTTTTAAGATTCCACAAACTGTTGTATAATTAATTGTATTTCAATTACTGGTGGCGGGGTGGAACTACCCCAAAACATTTGTTAGGCATGGAACACTGAATATAAACATTTGTTAGGCATGGAACACTAAATAAAAACATTTGTTAGGCATGGAACACTATGAATACAAATTAGAGGCACATGGAATAATAAATGTGAACATTTCAGAGGCATGGAACACTAAAATAAAAATTTGAAGTACACTGAAAATTAAAACTTAAGTCGCATGAACCGCTGAAAATAAACATTAAAGGGAATGTCTAGCTAGACATGGTAGTTGATATGAGAATGCAGTATTGTAGAGAAATTGTATAGGATTCATTTGAAACCTTTCAGACGTTTTTACGGTCCATATTTGTTCAGCAAGAGCGCAAATTCAATCCTCATTTAGGTCGGATTAAGAATCGGTTTTAAATGAAATTATTTAATGCTGACCACGAAAAATGTTACAAAAATGTTACAGTAAAAAAATTAGCTATTTAGGAACGGGTTGAGAAACTAAAAATAATAATAGAAAATAATTAATTGTCAAGTTTAATATTACTCTTTCTATGGAAAGACGACATTTCTTACTATGTAACTACCTGTGTACTTTATATAGCCCACCCCAGTTCAAGTTTAACCTTCACTCAGTATGAAAGAAAAGAGTGAAGGGTTTTTCTTCTTTTAAGAGATTCCTGCACTAAATTTGGTAAATAACATTTATTCAATTATTTTAATCTTATTCATTAATAACAACAATTGTAATTATAACCTAATTAATTATTGTTATTATTTCATTATGTAATCCCTGAGTAAATGTGAGAGAATAAATGAATAAACAATTCATTTGATCATTTCTCCCCCTTGCAAAACTATTAGCAAGGGTAAATATACTGACTAGGATCTGAACTCCTCCTATGTCCAGTACATTAATCTTATTCAGTTAATTTCCGCAGATTTTCTGAAATTTTTATTAAAAAACGACTTTTGAAGAATTTAAAGAAATCTTAGAACAAATTCATGTTATTATTATTGTTAACAATCAACCTACAGACAAAGTACAACGACCTGTAGGTTGAAATACAATGAAAATAGGGTTGAGCTCCTTCAGTTGCCCTGGTCTTTGTGGGATCTAGTAGTTCAATCCTGGCCTGAATTTTAAGGATTCAGTGTGTATGCCAGGAAAGCATGGATACTAGGGGATAAATAAAAGGGATGCTTAAAAAAAGCACTGACAGAATGCGGTAAGAAATTTAATATAATGATGAAAAAGAAATAATTAATTCTAACATTGATTTAATGAAAAATTTTAATTGAGAAATATGTTCCTAACAATCTAATTAGTTTATTGTAGATTGTTTGTTACATATTTCGTTGCCGTTCTTGTTTAATTTTTAAATGCTCAAAACTATCCCTCAAAATGAACAATCTATGAGGATTTGGACTCTTGCCTAACATATATGAACCGTAAAAACATCTTAGAGGTGTCAAATGAATCCTAAAAAATGCCTCTTTAATACTGGATTTTCAGCTCAATTACCATGTCTAGCTAGACAATCCTTTAAAAGGGCAACAAAAACAAAAAACATCTAACATTGAAAACGAACAACTGAGCAACTGACCTAAAGGATCTGGTCTGCCAGGAAACTGATAATGCATTGTCTGGTTGATCCGTTCTGTAATACTCGCTAACCATTGAACAAACCCCTGGATAACTGAGCTCTCGTGTCGGGGGGAACTCTGAACAAAATAAAAATCATCAAATTTGTTTTTACTTGAAAAAAGGACAATACCCTCTTCAAGATATTTTTTTAGTTATAACAATGGAAACTTACATTATTAAAATACTTTTGTGTGTCCAGCAAGTTTTGCCCCATTTTCTTTTTGTTTGGACTGGTCTGCCGGTCAGTGTCGACTAGAGACCGCTTCTGATTGACCGGAATTGCAGCTGGAACCGTTATGGTCTGAAGACCGTCAGGAGTTTCCATCTAAAACAAAATCAAGCATTTAAAAAAAACATTCATTTTTTTTCTTCAATTTTCAAATTCTTGGCATATTTAGCATTTTGTACATTTTTGTTGTTGCAAATGATTAAAACGAATACCTGTATTTCAATTTGTTCATTGTTAATGTTAGGATCATACAGCTCAATATCTCTTCCGTCCTCAACACTACTTAGAACCTCAACCTTCAGATATATTTTATTTTAAAGTTAATAATAATAATGCAAAGGTGCAATTCGGGGGAGAGGGGAGGAAGACGACTTTCCTAGTTGCGTCTTCACTCTTGAGGTAGACCAATCTGAAGCCACAAAAAAATCTGCTTTCAGCTAATGATCACAAAATGGCGAGATGGTTGTTTCGCAAAGATTAAGAACTTAATCGGTTAGAATTTAAAAGTTGTAGATTAGTGCTTTCTAATACAAAAGTTTTGACCTCTACTCTACCTGTATTGCTTCTCCGTTCTCATTGTTCCCCAGGAAGGAGAAGACCTGAGGGGAGGTATTTCTCTCGTTCAGGTTCGAATCCAGGTCAATAAAATGCCTAAAAAAGGTCGCGCTATTGCATTATATATTCTTGATGTCTGAATTAGGAAGAAGAAGTAGTAAAAAGTGCATGGATAGTAGAGCTATTTTTAAGCATTAGTTCAACCATCCAGACCCGGTTTAACAACTAATCGCGATTAATTAATTTCGACCTCTGAACCAATGTCGTGAAAAATATTAGACTTTAGTTTTCAACTTTAACAATAATACGGTAATACGATAATACGATAATACGATAATACGATAATACGATAATACGATAATACGATAATACGAAAATACGATAATACAATAATACGATAATACAATAATACTATAATACAACAATACAATAATACGATAATACAATAATACGATAATACAAAAATACAAAACACAAAAGTTATCAATCAAATCAACCCCAATTCTAAACAAATCTGTATTACGGAGATTGTTGGTCTTGGAGGCTCCACAAATTCGGATCAGGGACATAATCTCTTAATAAACTCTAAATCTTAAAGGGACTGTACAATCGTAAGTTCAAGTGACCCTGCATGCAGAGATGGCATCGGTACCCCTAAAAGCTTATTCTGATAAAGTATGAATTAAATATCCATGTTTTTGTTAATTTAAACTGTTTGTTTCCATTTGTGTTTTCTCTGCAAAAGACACTTGCGCATTTCTTGCTTATAAGAAACGATTGAGAGATTCACAGAAATAAACGCTTTTCAATTCAGAACAACGACGTTATCTTCCAAATTATTGATCATAAACAGGTTTCAAGGGTACCGTTGTAAATCGGGCATTGCTATCTATGTATATAGTATATAGGGTCACTTTCCCTGAACTACAAGTTGTAAAAAGTATGTTCTACAAATACATTGGACAATCGATTCTTAATTAAAAATAACAAATGTTGACCTGAACTCTTCTCTAAGCTTGTTGTCACTGGCAAAGGCGCATAAGCATGCATAATAATGAATACAGCGCTTGAGAATCCATTCTGGTTCCTTCTCCCGTAGTGTTCCAGACCATTGAGTCCAGTACCGACAAGATCTAAATCAAAAATATCATTTGGTGTTAATATGTTAGACTAATGCGGCTACAATTTCTGATTGTGATGGCCCTTAGTCACATCAACATATAGAGGGGCTGTAAGCGTAATTTCAAGTCACCTTTTTATTTAAAGAGAGGCATCCCTTTCAACCCTTTAAACCTTTAAATGATTAAGAATGACACAACCTTTCCTTATCTATTTACAGGAACACTTGCAATTGTTGAACACTTTACTTGATATTTTTATTTTGAATGCATTAAATATTTACTTTCTTAAAGTGGCAGAATATAAATATTCACATAAAATTTTTTTAACCACGTTGAACAAGAAATATTCTAAATTTTCATGGAATAAACGTGACGTCATCTACGTTGAGTTGACACAGTACGCTAGCGTACACTCCAATTTTACGGCTATATACAAAGCATTTAGGGGAAATATAATCTGAATTATATGTCCACTATGATCATTCAGGGGTTTTAAGGTACCGTAGTGATTGAAAGGTCTCTTAAAATTACGCTTACAGTCTCTATAACTCGATATTTACAGGGGTGGCTGTTTCCAAAGACTGACATAAAACTGTCATTGCCTTCATTTTAAAAGATACATGTCTAATTTACAATGATAACCTTTAAAACCTGTATGAGCAAAAAAATTAATGTTATCCTTGTTCTTAAAAATTCCCAAGATGCTTCAAATTGTATATCACTTGAACTAATGCCGACTTTTCCTTTAAAATTTAAATTCAGATCCAGTATATATTTAGCCTTGTTGAAGCCAAAAAATATTTTTTAAAACCTATCCAGCCCTTTAAATCTACCCATCAAGACTTTTAAACTAACCTATAAGTATCCAGCTCTTTAAACTAACCTATCCAGACCTTTAAACTAACCTATCCAGACCTTTAAACTAACCTATCCAGACCTTTTAACTAACCTATCCAGTCCTTTAAACTAACCTATCCAGACCTTAAAACTAACCTATCCAGCTCTTTAAACTAACCTATCCAAACTTTAAACTAACCTATCCAGACATTTAAACTAACCTATCCAGACCTTTAAACTAACCTATCCAGTCCTTTAAACTAACCTATCCAGACCTTTAAACTAACCTATCCATTCCTTTAAACCAACCTATCCAGACCTTTAAACTAACCTATCCAGACCTTTAAACTAACATATCCAGTCCTTTAAACTACCCTATCCAGTCCTTTAAACTAACCTATCCAGTCCTTTAAACTAACCTATCCAGTCCTTTAAACTAACCTATCCAGACCTTTAAAACTACCTATCCAAACCTTTAAACTAACCTATCCAGTATCCAGTCCTTTAAACTAACCTATACTGTCCTTTATGCTAACCTATCCAGTCCTTTAAACTAACCTATCCAGTCCTTTAAACTAACCTATCCAGACCTTTAAACTAACCTATCCAGTCCTTTAAAAGTATCACATGTGCAGAAGAACTTCTGTTCAGCTCCAGGTTTATCTCGAAGTTTCTGTTCGATAAAAGCAATATGAAGGTAGCCCAGGGGATGCCGCGTATCTGCCTCACATTTTACTACAAATACCTGGACATAAACAATTCTTTATTTATTTGTCTTTTATAAAAAAAAGTACCATAAAGGGACTATAGATGTAATTTAAGAACTTCCAATCTCCACTTTAAGAATGGTATTTCCGATTAACAACAGTACCCATACCAGCTTTGTCTGAACAGGGATATTTGAAATTTTTTATTATTTAATTATTTCTGAAGGGATTTCTTGCTACCGAAGAAACAATCGAGGAATTTTTCAGAATTATACACGTTTAACGCAAGAAAAACAATGATGTTTTCCACATTCTTGATCATACATTTAGAGTCAAAGGGTATAGCGTTATGAATAAGACATAGATAGTCGGTAAACGGAGTCACTTAAAATTACAACCTAACAGTCCCTTCAAATTTGTAATCAAATCTGAGCTTGAATTTAATGAATCTGAGACGCATCTCAAATCCGCCAAAAACGGGTTTAAATTGAGTGCCGGCTTGAATCTTGAAACATTGAATACAATTTTAACAGGAACCATAATATTTAACCCGTGGCTCAAATTCTTTAAATTAGGCCTCAAGTTAAGAAAGGTGAGATATTAACACAGTTTTAAAAGCAATAATTCAATAAAAAGACTTACGAAATAATGTTTAAGTGACCCTGATAGCCTGACTCGTTTTACAGAAACTTTTACTGTTTTTAGTCTCTTAAAAGGTTTTACGACAATGTGAGAAGGTTACGAGATTTTAGAACTTTATTCTGTAGAAGTTTGCTTTTATTGAACATGCGTTACCCTAGAAGAAAATATAAGGCAAAAACGATAGTTTTTGGGGTTTTTAAACGGTGGTTTTTGGTTCGTTTTTGCCGTATATTTTCACATAGAATAACAAATTTGCATGTTTCATAAAAGAAAACTTCTACAGAATACAATTTTAAATCGTTGGACCATTCGTAGATTGTCGTAAAACCGTACAGTTTAAAAATATTAAGTTTCTGTGAAACGAGTCTAGCTATTGTCCATTGCTATTCACAGCTGCACCCTTTAAACCTTAATCTCAGCTATATAAAAGAAGATATTGTAGTTCTGGATTCTGATACTTTCCTTACCGAGCTTTTGCTCCATAAATCCTCAAGATATTATAGAAACTCAGCTGAAAACTTTAGAATGGGATATCCTTCCTTAATCCCGATCGGTTAATTAATCTGGAGATTAATAACAAGAGGAGAACAAGCATTAATCCTGATATCTAACATTCAAATTTTCCTAGCTCAGATTAATTAACCAATCGGGATTAAGGATATCCCATTCTACAGTTTTCAGCTCTGATAATATAATTAATAAAAACTGAAAATAAACAAGGCGGTCTCATTAATCCTCGACAATGCTTACAGAATATCTGTGAATCTGAAATGCTACTCTATAAATGGAAGGCCAGTGGAAATTACGTCTCGAATTTTAATGATAAAACTTATAAAGGAAAGATAATAGAAAAAAACTTTTTTCTTTATTTTTTACCTGTTTATTAACCCTTTGAACTAAAGGGCCTGAAATATGTTCTGCAAAACTATAAACATCATGTTTAAATTCACTCCTGTAGATTGAACATTGATAAAAAAATACAATACAGCCAAAGTCAAAACATACAATTAAGAACTTTTAAACCAAACGAAAAGGCCTTCAAATGATTTTAAAAGGTTTCATTGTCAAAACATTTGGCAAAAAATGTATCTATCCATATGAGGGGTATACCGGTAATATTCTGGTGGGCTTATCTTGGAGATAGTCCAGGCAACCAATAGGGACATATTTTAAAAGAAATAATTAATCATAAATTATTTTTTATTTAAATTAAAAATGTAAACAATGTAAATTAGTAAATTCCTATAAAATGATAAAAGGTGCATCATAGTTTTTTTATTATTGTGGAGTGGCATATGCTCATAACTTTATGTTCATCAATGTTTCCCTGATTTCTAGATCATTCATGGCAGAGTGTCGGAGCATGACAGGAACAGATTCAGTTGTGGAAGATAAACAGCTCAGAATATGGGAACACCCCTCACCTACAGCTGCAATAAATATTATTATTATTATTATTATTTAGAAGTGGAGGATGAACAGCTCAGAATATGGGAACACCCCTCACCTACAGCTGGAATAAACAATATTATTATTATTTAGAAGTGGATGATGAACAGCTCAGAATATGGGAACACCCCTCACCTACAGCTGCAATAATTATTATTATTATTATTATTTAGTAGTGGGGGATAAACAGCTCAGAATATGGGAACACCCCTCACCTACAGCTGCAATTCATATTATTATTATTATTATTATTCAGTTGTGGAGGATAACANTCATTAAACATTATTTCCTGAAGAATGCATACCATGAAACATAATGTTGATACAAAAAAATTTCAAATCATGTTGTGAATACTTATTTATTATATATTATATATATATATATATAACTGTTCGCCTCATCTATTCGAATATGGTTCGATTCAATTTATGTTGGACTAAAATGATTCTCAGGGTTTTGCAGCCAATTAAATTTATACTTTCGAAAATTAAATAAATTCATCAACAAAACATAAAAATCCAATAAATTATGTTCGTTTATAACGTAAAAATAAAATTGTTATATCAGAAGGCGCGAAGCATTCTAGACGCAAAGCAAGAATAGAATGAATAACCTCCGAGGATATTTTTAAATCTAAGGAAATATAGAGATAATTACCATTCATCTTCCTCATCTTTTTTCCAAGATGATGTTAAAAATAAGAAGCTGTTCATACTTTTCGGGCTTAAAAACTAATTTTCTCTATTAGTTGAAGTGGGTAAAAATATTGATTTTTTGGAAAATCTAAATATCTTATTTCTGTGCTAACCTAAAACATCCAACTCCTTGACATGAGATCTAGGACAGTTCTCTACATAGCATCTACTAGCACTCTGAACCAGGAGAGCAGCTTCACCCTCCAACCTAGAGCTAGGATCCAACCCCTCAACCATAGGTAACTAAATATATTAACATTCAGGACAATATACAATATAATGGCAAATTTTTCTCTTTAGATATAAACTTTTAACTTATATTTATATTTCCCACTAAAATAAATAGTTTCCCCCCACCCACATACAAAGATAAAACCTCCATTTAAATATGAAGTTATGAATCCTTGAAAAAAAGGGTTAATAATTTTGGAATGTAGAGTTTAATTTTTATTAGAAGAACTAAATAACCATTCTTCAACTGTTCTAAAGTTTAAAACATTTTACAGGCGATTTGGTTTTAGTCTCAATTTCAGGGTTACATAATAAAATATCTTTAAGAATAAACCCTTGAGGAGGAATGATTTTCGGAGCTCTGGGACAAAAAAATTATGAAATTTGACATAAACTATTGATTTTTATTATTTTTAATTTTTGTTTCTGTACGGAAGTGACTGGCGTATATAATTAAAATATTTTTAACCTAGAAAAAAGAAAAGAAAATATCTTTCACATTATTTATCAGATAAAGGTTTGAAGGGTACCGTTGTGAATCGGGCATTTGCATGGAGGGTCATTTGAAACCTTACTTAAACATCAGTAAAAAACATTTTTCAGAGGAGTTGAGAGGGGGGATTTATAAAGAAAATACCCCAGCTCAATTTTGTTGTTACTTACCAAGACAAATCCTCTATAATCTGGTCCACGGTCCCTAGTTATCCGTACACTGTAGATTTGCATATCCGTGCCTGTACAGTACTGCATATTCGAGATGGGATAAAAACAACAAAACATATTATCATACTATTGATAAATTTTGATAAATAACATAAAATGATAATAAAGGGGAACCAATGTTTCTCCTTACTTGAAATAAGACAGGGTTATTAATGCTCATTCAAACACTTCCAAGTATATTAAAAAACTTTCGTAACCGTAATTTTGTTATTGCAGGCGGCAAACACAGAACGTTTTTTTACTGCACCAATTTACACTAGTGAACAGTACAGTGTGCAGTACAACTTAAAATTTACACTAGTGAACAGTACAGTGTGCAGTACAACTTAAAATTTACACTAGTGAACAGTACAGCGTGCAGTACAACTTAAAATTTACACTAGTAAACAGTACAGTGTGCAGTACAACTTAAAATTTCGAATTTTTTCGCAAAAATAAATGAAGCGAAAACTAAGCAAAATTTTCGAACAAAAAATTTCGCGAAAATGCGAAAATACTAAAGGTGCAACAATTGCTCAAAAGAACTAGTGGAAATCTCTGCTCTGAAAGCTCAATATTTGATTTTTATCATGTCATATAAATAATTTCTCTTCCTTTTCGCTGGAAACCCTACATGGCGGTCATTCACTACAGGGATAACTTCAATTGGGAGAATCGAGCCTTTATCCTTTAATTTAAAAGTGCCCAATCTCATATTGGATATTGAGATCAAGCATTCAAGATTAACGATTACACAACAAATAAGTTACGACATCAGTTAGAAATACAATTAATTTTCTAGGTTTAAAGTCTGAATATTTTCCTGTATAAAGTTTACTAGCGTCCCCTGCTTGCTTCTTAGTGTCCGTATTAGAACGAAATACCATTCCACAGGATTTATTCTTACACGCTATTCCTCTAAAATACAGGCCGATTCGTTAAACAATATTACTCTATAATACAGGTCGATCCTTTAAACAATATTCCTCTATAATACAGGCAGATTGACAAACAATATTTCTCTATAATACAGGCAGATTATCAAACAATATTTCTCTATAATACAGGCAGATTAATTAAACAATATTCATCTATAATACAGGCAGATTTATTAAACAATATTCATCTATAAAACAGACAAATTTGTTAATTTTCCTCTAAAATACATTCATTAGACAATATTCCTCTATAATACAGGCAGATTCATTAAACATTATTCCTTCATAATACAGACAGATTCATTCAACAATATTCCTTTATAATACAGACAGATTTATTAAACAATATTCTCTATATGCAGGCAGATTAATATAACAATATTCCTGTATAATAAAGGCAGATTCGTTAAACAATATTCCTCTATAATACAGATTCGTTAAACAATATTCCTCTATAATACAGGCAGATGCAGTAAACAATATTCCTCTATAATACGGACAGATGCAGTAAACATTATTCCTTTATAATACAGACAGATTCATTAATCCTTTATAATACAGACAGATTCATTAAGCAATATTCCTCTATAATACAGATTCATTAAACAATATTCCTCTATAATACAGGCAGATGCAGTAAACAATATTCCTCTATAATACAGGCAGATGCAGTAAACAATATTCCTCTATAATACGGACAGATTCATTAATCCTTTATAATACAGACAGGTGCAGGATGGAACAGGAGCTTTGCCAGAAAACTGGAGATTTATTAAGAATTTAGAAGAATTTAGGAGAATATAAGAGGGAAGGAGCAACATTAAAAGTAATTGAGATAAAAAAAAAATGAGTTTATTATATGATAAGAATCCAGGGATTGAGATTAGAACAAAGCTGTTTAGAGACAGTTTTAATCTAAATAACCCGGACTAACAATAATTGATTGAAGACTAGAAGGACGTCATAAACCATAGAAAAAGTTTGCGCCATTCATTGTAGGCAACCCAATTTTATTTCAATATTTTATGAAACAATAAAAAAATTGCCCTAGCCAGTTCCAAAATGTGGTCTGCCATTTTTTTGTTTTAAAAAATAACAGAGATATTGAGAATTTTGTTTATTTTATTAAATTAACCATGAAAATGTCTAATTCTGAACGAAATCGTTGATTTCTATTCTCACCTTGTTCCGTTAAATGTTCCGCATTTCGTACATTTTCGGATCCCTCTCATTGTCGGTTTCCCTATGTCCCAGAACTCCATAGGTTTCGTCATGCTCATCTCAAGATCCATCCTTAACTAGTTCTATCTGGTTCTCAGCCGTGGTTTCCAGTTTCTTCCCGCATTTTCTGATTCTGAAAGAAAGTAGAAAATATTGTTCTGGACTGGTCTTAAATGCTGTAATTGCTCCAACATGTGTATTTTTCTATTATGAAGAGATAAGAAGATGGTTGATTGATTGATTGTATTCTTCAAGAATCAGTCGCAGGATGTAAATCTGTGAACAAAAATCAGAAATGGGAAATGATAAGAAAATGTTTGAAATCTACATTTTGCGTACATTGGATTAATTGTACTGTTCAAATTGATAAAAGAAGCCAAGTGTCTCATAAGTTGAATATTTATAAATTTTCATAAATTAGATATCTCTGTTTCAAAAACAAATGAAAAATATTCAAAATTCAAGAAATTTAGTGAAAAGCTTAGTTGTCTTGCAATAATACTATGACATTTCCAAACAAATTTCAATAGCTGGGTCTTAGATGTATTTTCAAATAGGTGAAAAATATAATTTTTACGCTTAAAGGGGAGAAAATTGCCTTTTTAATTTTGAATCTTTTTCATATAAATTTTTTTTCCAGGATGGGGGGGGGAGCACATTTATCCTTCTCTGTTCCTTGTTTAATCTGAATCATCATTTTTTCCAGGATTCCAGTCAGGGTCATCACTCTCCTCATCATCATCAATATCAAGATCATCCAGCTCCTGAAACATTTTCAGGACTCAACACATTTCTCAATAGTTAGTGACTTTTTTGTTGCACCCTTTAAACCTTTATCTGATAAACAATAAGCTATTTTCTATCTGGAAAACAAATCATAGACATTTTTCTTTTCCATCTAAGCTGTAGAAATCATTGGTAAAGAGCGCAGCCCCCCTCCCCGAGATCATAAATGGGGGGGGGGGGAGGATTGTTGATGGATTCTTTTATCAAAAGTACATCTGACAACTCCAGTAATCTTGGTAATCTAATTTCCTCTTACTCTTATTTACGCCCAAAAGCATGTTTAGTTGCTACCCACAAAAAGAGACTTAAATCCATGTTTAGTGGTTACCCACAAAGAGACGTAAATGCATGTTTAGTGGTTACCCACAAAAAGAGACGTAAATGCATGTTTAGTGGTTACCCACAAAAAAAGACGTAAATGACGACCTAAAACTCGGAGCAATAACAAGTTAATAAAGTGTATAAATGCCACAAAAATATTAGCTTTAGCGGGTTCTTTAACTTTGAGGAAATAAGGGACCGGATTTTATCAATTTGAGTTGGGTCCTGAATCAGGAGTCCTGAATCACCAATTCAAATTCATAAAATTCGGTCGTAGGTATCTTTCTTTGTTTTAACGATATAAACTTCAAATCAACACTAAAGATAAATAGTTTAATCGGTGACAAGTAATTCAGCGATCTAGCTCGAGTTAAAAATTCGGCTCCTGATGACTATTAATTACCTCGAAAAGTGATTCGTCGACCGTAATAGCCGTGTCCCCTGCGGCGGCCAAGAACTTGATGTCAGAATCATTTAGAGTTGTATCGCTCATGAAAAGTTCACGCCCTGCGAATACATAAATAAATATTTTACCTTAAAAATTTTATTTAAATTGTTAGGGATTTGGTTGGTTTCTGACGCTTTTAATGGTTTCGATCATAAACCATTAGCTAAAGTCAAAGATAACTTAAACTATCAATTATCGGGCAGCAATAGCTTTTATGTTAAACCAAAACCCAATCTTTTAAGTCTGTTGGAGGTTTCGTTTTTTATTAGCTGTAAAAGTAATTTTTTCTATTTGTTATTTGTTTGTTGTCAAAGGCCTGACAAATTATCAAGCATTTCAAAATAACTTTCAAAAATAATTATCTCCGCCATATTTGTTAAGCAAAAAGGGGGGAAGAGGATCCTATACCTGTTAATTTCTCCTTGCCCGTGAGGACCTTGACTCCCTTCTTCTCCAACCTCTCCCGATCAAATTCAGCCTTCCACGCCAGGAAGGATTCTATTGTTACCTAAAATAAAATAAATGTATTTTTTAAGGGACTTTTAATTTATTTGGATGTCCAATTCACAATTGTAGGATCAATAATGTTTGACCCATTTCAATCTTTTAAAAAAGTTTTTTTTTTAAATTGTGGTTTCTTTATTTAAGTGACTTTTGCGGTTAATACATTTTATGCCATTTTTTACTAAAACAATCGACCAATCAGCGGCAGTTTACGAAATAGTGGCTCAATTAACGGCAAATCACGAAAACAGTTGCTTAATTAACGGCAAATCACGAAAACAGTTGCTCAATTAACGGCAAATCACGAAAACATCTGCTCAATTAACAGCAAATCACGAAAATATTTGCTCAATTAACGGCAAATCACGAAAATAGTTGCTCAATTAACGGCAAATGACCAAAACAGTTGCTAAAATAACGACAAATCACGAAAACAGTTGCTCAATTAACTGCAAATCAAGAAAAATAATCGCTCAATTAACAGTTATCTGCCAAAAAAAAAACAATCGATGAATCATACATTATTCACTAAAACAATCGATCAATCAACTGATAATAACAAAAGTAATCGGTCGATCAGCGGTTAATCACGAAAACAATCGATCAATAAAATTCTACCTTTGTTCCCTCCAATTTCTTCCTCTCCTCCTCTTCCTCTTTCTCCTTCTTCTTTCTCGCAGCTTCCTCCATATCATGCTTGATCTGGTCGTTCTTTTCACACAACCATTCCAGGGCGGCACTTACTAGATATAGAGATAGATAGAGAGATAGAAAGATATATATATAGATAGAAAGAAAGAAAGATAGATATCTAGATATCTAGACAGAGATTCCAGTGCGGATCCTGAATCCGCACTGGAATAATGGATCCGGATCAAGGTTATTTCTTCAAAATTTACTGAATTTTTTTTAACAAAGCAGAATTTTCATATTTTTTGTATTATTTTTTTTTGCTTATTTTTATGCTAAAACTTGATGAACCATTCAGAAATCAGGAAATTTTTATAATCTCTCTTTTTCCGATAGTTCAGATTTGGGTTTTGAGAGTAAAATTTTGTTGTTGCAGTTTTTGGTTGATATTTTTCCCTTTGAATCCGGATCCGTGGATCCACATATTTTTGCGGATCCAGATCCAGGAAGCCAAAATCTTGCGGAAACAATAGATCCGGATCCTAAGCACTGGATACAATATCCTTAGTTCTTCCTAGGTGACATTTTGTTTCCCTGATATACCGCCCCCATATATAGCCCCCGTTTTACCTATGGTAAATACCATCTGCATTCCAAGGTTTTCCTCAATTTGTTCTTCAAGATGTTTATGTAGTTCATCAAGATGTACATCGTCTAAGTAAAACAATAAGATAGTAAAAAATTAAATAAATATTTAAGCTTTATATTCTACTAAAATACAACAAAAAACCCTCTAAAAGCTATGTAAGCTTAAATTCTAATATAGTTTAAAAATACCTATATTTTCTGTTTCTTCAAATTCTACTAAAGGAGCTTCTGATGGATATTTAGGAGTAAATGTAAACCTAAGGAAAAATGGTAAAATTTTAATTCAGACTTTGAAAGGGAGTGTTTATCAATTTTAAAGTGGGGTTAATAAAAGAATTTTCTCTCCAGAGCCCGCGATTTAAAAGCTTCGGCTCGAGTCGTAATTCCTTAAACCCGACTTTAAGACCCAATCTTCGACCCAACTCTGACGACAGCTTGTGTCACGTGATTGACAGCTGCGAGATCTTAGGCTCGACTTAACGAGTTAGGCCCAATGAAAATAAAACCGACCTTGGTTGGTTTTAGTGAAGAATAAGGCTCAATGTTGGGTCTTATTCTCATCTAAACCCGGAATGCGCCAATTCCAACTATGAAAATCCGCCAACTACAACATTAAACCGGTTTAATGAACTAAACTCTGTTAAAAATTAGATGCAACTTAAATCCGAAAGCCCGAGCCGTAAATAAGGCTCATTGACAGCTTAGACCCGAGTCGTATTTTCTTGAATTTTTTAAATCGCCGGCTCAGGCCTTATAAGAAATATACTTTTTCAAAATCAAATAAAAAAATGTCGTAATGCTCCCATTCAATATTCCACTACAACCCCTTCAGCACTTCAAAACTTCAAGAAATCTGTATTTTATACATTGCATTCATAAGATTCGTTCCATAGCCGTATATAGGGGGTGGGGGGCCAATGAAACTCATCTCCCCCTGTATCACTGAAATCGTTGGTGGTTTCCAGGGGGGGTTTCAGGCCTCAACGGGTACGCCCCCAAGTATTATCAAACCCCCCACCCTCCCACCCCACATTTCTGTTATTTTAGAAAATATCTCAATTTAGAGCTGTGCACGATCCACAATATGGGACACCTTGTATTAAATAGCATCTATAAAATATTAGACAAAAAACCGTAAATTTCGGGATAAAAAAATAAAATAAAAATTACTTTAAAAGAACATATCTGCCCTCCCCCTCATCTTCATTATACTCTTCTGTTTTCACTGGTATTGTAAATCTAAAAATAGTTTACAAAAATTTTATCATATGGTAATTAAAACAATGTTGAACTCCTCCCCTATATCAATTTAAAAAAAAAATATTAGTGTGGATTAACTGTCATCTTCTTTCATTTTTAATTTAGAAATTTTGCTAAAATGTGAAATGAATCAGTTACAAAAAAAAAAAACTTCAACCTTCTGATTAAAGAAATAATGAAGAACACCGCGACAACAATTGTTTACCAATTTAAATAATAATTATAAAGTAACGAAAATAATCAATCTAAAAACCTAAGAAGACCCTAAAGGTAGAAAAGTATATTTTTGTGTATTTTTACACTAATCTATTGTTCAGTTTTGTAGAAAATGTCAGTATGGGTCTTAGTTATAAAACCGAAATGTTCTAAAATTGTTTTCAAAATTCCAAGTCGAGCGAATTGACTTTTTAGTGATAAACCTCTGTCAGACAGATAAATTAAAAATAAGAAAAACAATTCTTACAAGGAAATAATTAGGCATAATAAACTATGCAGTATAGAAAATATGGAAAGTTTGTATTTAAGTTTTAAGTTTATTTTGCAAATTTTTTAATTTTAATCCACATTAAAATCAACTTTAAAAGCATCAAGTAGTTGTTGAAACATCCAAGTTCCAGGAAAATGGGTTTCAAAGATATAGGGATTGGAAAATCAGAGTTTGTGGCAAAAACTCGATTTCTTTGGTTGGGCCTTCTATGTTTAATTAAATCGACCAGTGACCAGTATATGCTAATTATAAACCTGTGTGGGCCATCACCGATGATATCGATCTCTTCTGAATAAATAGACTCTATAGCTTCTAATTCTTCCTGCTGCTCTTGAGCATAATCAACCATTCTTGATCTGAAAGTTATTCTTCACACTAATCACAATTATCAAAAGCAAAGATTTATTTAAAGACTAATAATATAAAGCTTGTGGATGTAAATATAAAGTGAAGGATAAGTCTATCAATAAATCAGTGTGAAAAATTGTCAAGAATAGAGATAAATCAATAATGAATTTTATTAACTTTTTTATGAAAAAAAAACCCTGCTTAGCATGATTTATTGGCTGTTTTTTGAACCTTGAATAATGAATATCACAACAATAATGAATGCAAGATTAATGCCATGAATCAACTAGAACTAGACTGGGATCCAAACCAAATAAAAAAAGACAAAAAAAATCATATTTTGTTTTTAGATCCCAGATAAATATGATTTTTCTACATCAAATGTATCCCATACAACGGAACAAATCGACTACAGTTCAGGTTTCAAGAGTAAAATCTACAATCTTCAAGATTTGAACGCGGCACGAGAACAGCTGTGCGCACCACTCAATATGCCACTTGTTACTAAAACTTGAAGAAGTTAAGACTTCTCGTAACTAGGGCCTGTTCACCCAGATTAATGCCTTGACAAGGAAGTAGGCGGAAACTAGCACGGAGCAAACCTACAACAAATACAAATACTAAAATGATTTTGTTCTTATACGAATATTTTAATAAATTTCGTCTGTAAGTGATTTCTCAACGGGCCCCTAGACCACCGCCTGTTGAGAGGGTCATTTGTCAACAAACGGGTTTATTTTACCTGCCAGCGCTGATTTTGCAACTGATTTTCCATCTCTGTTGCCATCAGTCGGTGGTTAAGTTTTGCCATTTGAGTTCTCATTCGCTGAACCTTGAAGAAGAAAAATTAATTTTGTCTAGAATTTCAGTATCTTTTTATTCTAAAAAGAAGATTTACCAATTTTATAATGTCTGACAAGGTGGCCAATATTTATTAACTTTTCATTAACTCACCTCATCGTAGAGGGACAGATTAGAATCATGGCCATGACTTAAGGAGAGATCTGGATCAAAACTTATGGTCCGATCTGAATAAAGTATTAGTTAGGATTACACAATACACAATTCGTTATTCTAGTGGAGCAAATTTATGATTAGCACTGTATAAACCCAAGCTAAGACATCAATGGTATTCAAGTAAAATGATCAAGCAGAGAATGGCTAAACAATCTTAGCAAGACTGACTTTTAATGTTAGACACAAACCTTTTCTAGTAGATCTCTGTTCAGGTGCTCTTGTATATCTGGGCGGGGAGAAGTGGTCCTGGGTTTCTCCAGCGGATGGATAAGCTATGTCATCAAGCTTGATCGACCTACAAGGTTACACATCTATTATTCTACTCAACGTTAACTTTCCCAACTGTGAACCATTGGATGATAAGCATTTAGCAATAAAGTTGCTATTTTTATTGATCTTGTAGTAAATAGCTCTTTAAATTCTATTAATTACATTCTAGCTTTCTAGGGTCAGCCCATTACTTATTTATTTATACAATATGTGTATAAGGGCAGTTAAGTATAAGAAAGTACTTATACACATAGTAATTGCTGCATTCTTCTCTTAGTGACTTAAATATCAGTTGAATGCATTCATTTTACTAGTTCAAAAATTTCAAGCTTAGGTTATGTCAAAGTTAAAACATAACAGCGAAAAAACTTATGATTGTAATGTCTTCAGGAAGAAACTGCCAACATCAGCATCACTGATCTGTACAGCTATGTAATTTTATCTAAACTTTGTGCATTGTTAAGACTCTAGGTGCAATGTACAGTATTTTTGTCCTCCCATGCAGACCATTATTATTTATTAATATTCTTGGAATACCATCATGCAGATAAATGATTTGTTGTGTCCTAGAGAGGGGGGGATAAAAATTGTTCAACTTTTAAAAACTATGGGAAGCCATTCATAGCTCTACAATGGTCTGAATGCAGCTATATAATCTTTGCACATAAATTGAAATGTTCAAATCAGAAACTCAAAAATTTTCTTTCTGCAACTGCAACAAGCTTAATTGTGAAGGGACCAAAAAGACCAGAATTATGTTCAAATAGAATTGTAATGTAAAAAACTAAAAGAAGTCTATCATAGGTGTTAAATTATCTTCAGAGGACTGTATGACAATAATAACAACACCTAATAAACCCTGAACCAAAAAGGACATAATACATGTTACAAAAATGGCCCTGTCAGTTAAAACATTGACGTTGATTTGTTTACCCTACCAGTCAATCAAAGGTAGAATTCATATTGATTTGTTATCCCGTACCAGTCAATCAAAGGTAGAATTCTGACTTAAATAGAGAGAAAGCTGATTTCTGATGTCTTATTAATGTTGATTGTACATCTGTTTAACTGGGGCAGGTTAAGTCTAGTATGCCCCCAAAGCTCTACTTGACTTGACCTACGGTACTCCAAGGGAGTTGGGCAAAACGGTTGATCATGGACCGTAGGGAACATAACATCCTCCATTCTTATACTCCTGAAATATATCTTTTCTTGTCCTCAAGGACAGTTCTCTTTCTTGTCCTCAAGGACATTTATGTTTTCTTGTCCTAAAGGACATGCCATTTTGTATGTCCTCATGGACATGCAACTTTCTTGACCTAAAGAATAAATATATGTTCTTGTCCTTAAGAACATAAATATTTTCTTTTCCTCAAGGACACATATCTTCTCTTGTCCTATTGGACATATATCTTTTCTTGTCCAAAAAGACATTTCACTTTTCTTGTCCTAAAGGACACGAATAGTTTTTTGTCTTTAAGGACACATATAGACTTTTTTGTTCCAAAGGACATTTAAGTTTTCTAGTCCTGAAGAGAAAAAGTACTGTTAACAATATACTCATTAATAAATATTTATTTAAAATCCCTAAATTTATTTTCCTTTTCATATTTTATTAAAAACTGTTAATTATTAAATATGATAAAAATAATTAGTTAATCAAACTTAACTGATGTTTAGTATTATGAAGGTTTAAATATTTGTTGCAATAAATAGATGCAAAAAATCACGAAAAGTAAAGAAGATATGCCCAATATTATCAATAGACAATTATCTTTTCATGGATAAATACTGTTTAACTTTGTACAATAAAATATGTTCATTATTTTATTTAGACCTTAGTATAAAAGTCCATTGATCATAACATTTTCCTGAAAAAAGGCATTTCTATTTCTATAAGTGAAGAACTTGGCAACATCTGACTATCTTTTTGACAAAAACTCATGTTCACATAAAAGGTGAAAACTGATTCTAATAAATGTACTTTCCTATCAGAAAAATTCTATAACATGTTTCACAAAATTTTTATTAAAACTCTCTCCAGAGCAAGATAATAAGTAGAACAAGATAATAATAATAACTACCTATGGATAAATTCAAATCCCCGAGTAACGATTTATAAGCACTGCTATTTTGTTACCTGGGAGGAGTTTGTACCCTCACAAGGTCTGGCGAAGGAGGTATAACAGAGTTCTCTAGCTGGAGTTCTCGTGGAGTACTCTTACTATGAATATGCTGATCACTTCCAGCAACAAGTATCCTAACCAATTAATAAATCATTAAAAGAAATTTCATGGAATAGAATGAAATAAGATGAACTGAGATGAAATTAAATCATTACATGTAAGGGTAATATTTAATTTATAAAAAAATACAAGTACACACAAATGAGTATAGACACACAAAAAGATTCAGAACACCACTTCAGGGTGTTAAAAGCTGGAACCCCATTCCCAAGAGTCAAGACCTTCTTCAATTTTAAATTAGTTCTTTCATATTTCATATTTTTTTTTAACTACAAAGCATGAGAAATTACAAATAAGCAATCACAATTTACTCTGCAGTTTGGACCCGCCTAGCCAGGGTTGGTTGTTTTGAGTGGTTGGCCTGAAGTTAATTAACGATACTGAATATAATTGGTTACACATATCAAGATATGTTTTTGGATAGGTAAGGAGTTGATTGGGAGGAAGGAAATTGTCAGGTGATCTGTGGCTGGATGAGATCAGTGGTATTTAAATATAGAGATAAATTAAAATACAGGGTGCTAAGGCTCGTGGATACAGAAACACAAATAAGCTAATAAAGTTTTTTTTTATGGACGTTTTGATTTCATTTTATAAATATAAACTTGATTAAAAACCAAAAACTAACTCTTTATAGTCATTTTTCATTTGTATGGAACCTGTATACCAGGGGCGTAAATAAGAATTTTCTAGGGGGGGGGGGCATTTTTTTAACATTTTAGACAATGTACAACCTTATTCATGATGTATATCAAATTATGGGGTTTAGCTGGGTTTCATGTCAATTTCCCAATCATTTCTGGATTTAACAAACTCTATCAAATAAAAGTCTTCGTCTACCACCTTTCAGCTTTCACCTGACTTAATTTATACCCTAAAGGTTGTCCATTGTAAATTGAGACTTTTTAAAACAGCTAATAAAAGTATGAAAAGTCCGCGATGATCCGCCATCTTCTATTTCATTTGCTAACACTTTCACTTCGAATACATTGTAAAACAAAAACAAAAATTCGCGGGTTTTATAAAAATTTTGCGGATTTTCAAAATTACTAAAAATGGAATTTTGCTAGAAGCAAATTTTTAAAAATTCAATCATACATAAACCTTCCCTGAGGTCACATGAAGTCCCATAAAAATTTGGGCCCGATCGGTTCTGGACGTTTGGACGTTTATTGGATACAAATGACAAGCAAAGTATATATTCATCATATTACTATTAACATTCAACCTGCAGTCAAAGTATCATGTCCTATAGGCTATGTTACGTAGAGCTCCAAGGTCGAGCTCCAATAACTTACCCTTGTCTAAATGGGTTTTAGCGGATCATATCTGACGGTGAATTTTTAGGATTCAGTGCTTTTTGCCAGCGTATGTACTATGTATAACCACCCTTATTTACACCAATGCTGTAAACTGAATACTAACTATATTTTCACCTGTCTGGAATCTGCATACTGAACACTAACAATATGTTCACCTGTCTGGAACCTGTATACTGAATACTAACTATATGTTCACCTGTCTGGAACCTGTACTCTAAACACGAACTATATGTTCACCTGTCTGGAACCTGCATATTGAACATTGATCCCTTCTCTCTCCACCTTAATTCTTCTTCATCTTCGGCATGGTTCACACCGTTGCCGTTATGGGCCAGCAGTCTGATCAAGTAAAACTTAAATCAAGGAAAATTTAATCAAATAAGATGAAATCAAATAAACTTAAACTAAATGGAATCATAATAACTAGAGGACCAAATCAAATTCAAATGGCTTACTTACTAACTTCAAATTCTTACAGAATAAAATAATTCAAAACAAAATTATTAAATTCTTCAACAATATTCTATCAAATTCTGTCTAACTCTTTCCGAGGTAACCACATCAATTCAAATTGATCAAAAATCCAACAAGAATAAATTTGTACCTATCAGGGACCCTCATTCTTGTACTAATGTCAGCTGTGTACGCACTGTCACTGTAGAAATCAGATTCCATGTACCTCTCCCCGCTCATACTGTACAAAATGGTCAAATTTGTACATAACAGCATTAGAGCAATATCGGAAATAAGTGCTTAGGATCATTTAATTGTGGTGCGGATCCTAGATTCGCATTGGGAAAAAATGGATCCGGATCCGGGTTAAAAACATTTCTTTAAGATTTACAGATTTTACTGTTTCGAATTATTTGTCTTCTTTTTTTGGTATCTTTATGCTAAAACTTGATGACAGATGAACCATTTAGAGATAAGGAAATATTTTTGATAACCTCTTTTTGCAACAGTTCAAAATTAGTTTTTGGGCGCAAAATATTAGTATTGCAAATTTTGGTTGACATTTTGCCCCTTGTATCCGTGGATCTGCATATTTTTGCGGATCCGGATCCAAAAGTCTAAATGTTGCGGATCCTAAGAACTATCGGAAATTTAAGTTAACATTTCAGAATTATATACTATATAATATAATATTATAAGCCAAATGACTTTAAGAGTAAATAAAAAACAACATTTTTGTTGATAAAAAATATGGGAATTAATAATATTTAAATGTGTTTCTCTGTGTCTTTCACCTGTAGTCGTTCATTTCATATCTGAAAAAATTAACATTATTTGGCACCAATATTATAGACTACAATCGCAGATGCCGCAATTAATATCGGCAATCTTAATTTCCGGCTCATTTTCCTGCCATTTTTCTAGAAAAATTTGAAAGTTGTGAAAGTAGCACCAATTTAACATTTGAATATCTTTGAAAATTTGTGAAAAATAACAACAATTGAATCTGTGATTGCATCAGGGTTGTTTCTGAAGCCACTGATTATCTTCATTTTATGGAGTCCGTGTTGCTTGACTCAAAAAAAAGGACAATTTCAAAAAATTATAAAAAATACAATTATAAGCTGGTTGACTAGATAAAGAGTATTAGAAACAATCCAATGGGGATTGTATTAAACCTGTAACAATACTGTACATATATACATGTGTTCTATTATGTACATTGTACAGCTAACGGTTAATATCCTGCACAACTGAAAAAGCACTTAAACAGATTAAAAAAATTTGCAATCGTGCAGAAAATGATAAAATACTTTCAGTTTAACAGAAAAAAATAATATTTTCAGTTGAACAGAAAATACAATATTTTCAGTTGTACAGAAAATACAATATTTTCAGTTGTACAGAAAATACAACATTTTCAGTTGTACAGAAAATACAATATTTTCAGTTGTACAGAAGATACAATATTTTCAGTTGCACGGAAAATAATATAATATGTTTATAAACTTTGGCATGAAGTAACAAGGGTATGGGATTGGAAGGTTGCAATTATGAAGAAAAATACAAAAAGCGTTTGGAAGACATTATTTCTGATCAGAAATATCTTAGCTTTGTGGGCCGTAACAGTAAACATTGGATATAAAGTTAAAAACTTAAAATTTTAGAACGATCTGTTCCGTAACATTCTACAATTCTTCGGGCGAAAATTTACGATGGGTTAAATTTTGAGTAATTTCTTTTTTCGATTAGTTTGAAATATTTTATGAATTCACATAAAAAAGTAAAATATTGGACATTTTGAATGGGAAAATGATTTAGATGGAAGATAAATAAATATCGAAGAAATTGGCTGCATTTAAAAACGAATGATTTTCGTTCATTAAGAAAATCAAAAGCTCGCATAAACACAAATTTTTATCTTTTTCTTAATCTCGTGGATGGATGCTCAATACGAGACTAATAAAAGTTTCCACGGAGGATAAATTCTAATATTCCGGAGTTTTAAACTGGTGGAGTTAATCCTAGGCTTGCACCACACGCCTCACACACCTTTAACGAATCATTAGTTTCACCAGATTTTTTTCAACAATTAAAATTTGACATTCAAACATTCTACAGTTAAACCCAGAACTTCGGAGACATCGAAAAAATTTATAAAATGTCATCAATTTGCAATTGGTTTTATACTATTATACCCAAATCTCAGTAACTGTAAAAATAAATAAATAGCCATGAATGAAGTATGCGGAAACGGTGTTAAATAGCTCCATGCATCAAACCTTTTCAAAGCCTGATTAAATAAGGCAAAAATATTCTCAAAAACGCTTTGTTTAGATCATAATTGATCATATTTTTATAATGATTGATTCCTTTGTATTTGGAGGGTTGAGTAGGGTGCAACGACCGCACTGTATACTCTTAGCACCATCCTGGAACAATATCTAGTTATCATTACTTAAACCAGTGATACATATCTCCCCCCCCCCCCCCCAACTAAAATAATCTTTATGAAAAAAAATATTGAACTAAGAGAAATAAAAACTTTAAAAAGACGTTAATCATAATGATTGAGAGAAAAAACATAAATAAGACATTGCTAAAAGTGCCAACAAATGTAAGAACATTTAATTGAGAGTGAAAAAATGATATTAGAAAGGCATTATCAATCATGCCAAAATGTGTTCGCTTTCAATTTCCTCTTTTTAAGAATATCTAGAACATTTTCCAAACCTTTCCTTCTTATTTTACCAACTTTTTTATCAACAAATTTCGAGTTATTTAGATCTTAAAATCGGAATTATCGGGTCTGAATAAATAGATAGATAATAGATTTATTACACACACATTATTCCAGGACCGGTTAAGATGGATAGATCAAATCAACCAAATTCACTGAGATGCTGTTTTTAGAAGGCGGGGAGGGGGGGGGGTCCAATTGGAATTTACGAGGAAATTACCGATTTTACTTAGACTTCAATATTTTTTACCTCAGTTACACGTTTATCTATTCCGTCCATTAGAGTTGTTTTGTAAGATTTATCTTTTGTTTTGCTGCACATCTCACATATATTCACAGAGGTTGGATTATGGAAGGTACAAGCACCACACTCCCATTCATCTTAATAAACATAACAATGATGATATTAATCACAACAATACGAAACAATAACAACATCACAATATTCATTGCAATAGAAATAAACAAAAACAACAACAACAACAATGAAAATTAACAACAACAATAAAAGTAACAATAACAATATAGATTCAGCAAACAATAATGATAACGCCACCGAACCCCTGATCTAACCTGATTCTAGCTTCCTTGGTCTCTGTGCACCCTGATCTAACCTAATTCTAGCTTCCTTGGTCTCTGTGTTTCATGATCTAACCTGATTCTAGTATCCTTGGTCTCTGTGTACCCCGATATAACCTGATTTTAGCTTCCATGGTCTCTGTGTACCCTGATCTAACCTGATTTTAGCTTCCTTGGTCACCCTGTACCCTGATCTAACCTGATTCTAGCTTCCTTGGTCTCTGTGTACCCCGATATAACCTGATTTTAGCTTCCATGGTCTCTGTGTACCCTGATCTAACCTGATTCTAGTTTCCTTGGTCTCTGCGCTCCCTGAGATTGCTGATTGTTTCCTCTGTTAGTTCTCTGTGGTCTCTCTTGAACCTGTGACCTAAATATTAAAGGGATTGTTTCCTTTTCAGCTTCTCCTCTTTTTCCTCTCTATACAGAAACAATAAAAAAGATAGGGAAGGGCTATTTATAATGATTGTTGATCTTAAACCATGGGTGTATTAAGAAATTTGTCCAGGGGGGAAGGCTCAGTATCCATTTGGGGCCCTAAAACCCCATGAAAACCATAGATTTCACTGATTAGAGGGAGGGGGGCTGATCTCCCACAGCCCCCTCTCCTGAATACGCCTCTGTCTTAAACCATTTTGTGTCCCACCTCGTTACAAAAATGCGGTACAATTTATTAAAGAAAAAATTGTCATTGACAGTGTTAGATAATGTCTCCTTTACTTCAAGGATATAATGGATGTTGACCTGTAATTATTTTCTGTGTTCTTGCTGTTAGCAGAACTGTATCTTGAAACATCCTGTTCACTCTCACTCGTTAATTCTCTAGGTATATACTCTCTACTGTTCCTAGTCCTAGATTTATCCCGTCCTCGTCCTTCTCCTTCTCCTCCTCCTCCTCCTCCTCTAGTCATATCCCTAAAAATCGGACATGGTTCTTTCAATTGCGCGTAAAAAGATAATGGAAAATAATAAAAAAAAATGGAAAATAATGGAAAAAAATGGAGAAATAATGGAAAAATAATGGAAAATAACGGAAAAATTATGGAAAAGTAATGGAAAATAATGGAAAAATAATGGAAAATAATGGAAAAATAATGGAAAAATAATGGAAAATAATGGGAAAATAATGAAAAAGAAATGGATTAAAAATCAACTTTACATAACATTTTACATAATATTTTTCAATGGTTCGGCTTTGCTAACGCTCAGGGTTTACAGGGTGCTCGTTTCATTGCAATGCAACTACAATTTCTTGTACCTAGGTCCCGAACCGATGCATTTGGCAACTCGTCGTCCGAGGTGTCGAAAAAACTTTCAAATTTGTCAAAAAAGAAAGATGGGAATAACTAGGACTCGAGCTAATAATTTATAATGATAATGACTCCTTCAACTTATTTCAGTGAAAACAAAAATATTTTTTTTAATTACAAAAATGAATGTTAAAAAATACCTTGTATCTGTATCTCTGAGCTGAAGCTGATTAAAGTTTCTACGAATATCTTCATCACTTGTCAGTAGTTCCTCTCCTCCCAGATAGGATTGCCTGGACAAAATCGAACGATTTCAAGTTATCTCTATTTCAAGTTATCTCTATTTCAAGTTATCTCTATTTCAAGTTATCTCTATTTCAAAGATTTGTAGGTTCGATTCACAACGATACCCTTTAAAGTTTCTTGTGATCAAGAATGCAAAAGATTGATGTCTTCAATTGTGGTTTCTCTCTAATGTGACTTTCAGCTAAACAACGACGATATTATCAACAATATTGAACAGGATCATTTAAAGCGTACTATTGTGAATCGGACAGGAGAGTCACTTGAAACGACGTTTACAGTCCCTTTTCAAGTTTACCTGTTGTTAGCTAATATATCTGGTCTCTCAGCCTGGTCCTTGCTGTACCCTTGCTGTTCAAGCTCCTAATAAAAGCAGTCTTTTAAGGAAGTAGTCTAATAAACATTCCTACAGTGATTTCCATAAATCTGTGAAATAGGAAGATGCATTTTAAGAAACCTCGTACGTTTTTGATGTTAATATAAAGCACATACATAAATACACGCTTGGATAACTAATTATTAAGTCAAATGGGTCTGTGCACAGAACAATAAATGTGCTTCATGTTCATTGGGCTTTTAGAAATCATAAGAAAAAGAGACGTATTCCTATATTTTATTTGTCTGATTTAATGAAAATCTCAAATCAAAAATTAATACTATGTCAAGCAACAGATAGAGCGAAAGAAAAAGTGCTTTTTGGAGCTTGTTGCTGATTCTACCAAAAGGGAAATAAAAATGTTTAATGCCAATGAAGTTTTGCCTTAAAAAGAAGCTTGCAAATAGTTACACTGGAATTTTGTATCGAAGGCTTTCTTTAGAGATTAAAATTAAGTGAAGAAGATATAAAAAATAATAAGCACTGAATAGGGTGGGGGGAACCCCCTCCCAGCCCCCCATACCTTGTAGACATAATCCCAGCTGTCCCCCTGCTCTCCACTCCTACTCCCCCGGCTCCCGCGGCCTCGCTCCTTCACAGGCCGAGATCGGTCAGTCTTGGTCTCGTTGTACCTCGGCTTGACACCACGCTCAGATTTATCTCTAGGACGGGCTCCTCCACCCTCCACCATCCTCGTGTCATCTCCTTCAACGAAAAATAATTTTTGAAAACCAAACAAAAACTTGATAATTTCTAACTAAATAATTAATGATTTAAAAAACATATTTGAAACCCCGACCCCATCCATCCTGACAGAATGAGGTACTGGATTCACTGAATAAATAAATGAAAAGGATGGGTGGGTAATTAAAAAATTGAATGAGTAATAATGAATCTTTAGGGAGATGAATAAACTTCGAAATGGTAAATAATTTTTTCAAACTCAATCTTCAAATAAATAAACGATTTTAGGGTGAAAAAGGCAAAATTTTGTGATAAGAAGTATGAAATAAAGAACAACTTGCTGGATTCGGCTAACCCTCCAAATTTTTTTGAATTGGATATAATTTTTTAATCTTTTAATCTTGAAAGCTTAAAGTTAGCAAACCTGTTAGATCCAGGATGGTTGTTGGTATCTGACCCTGTCTCAGGGTAGATGTAGAACTACCCGCCGGAGAACCTAAACCCGTTCCTTGAGAACCCAGGCTTCCAGGAACGCTGCACATTAGTCCTGCAGGAACACTACTTACAGGAACACCGTGGGGCATCATGGAACCGTTCCCGTGGGTTCCGTTTAGCGGTGTTCCGTTAGGAAGGAATGCAGGAACTGCTTGTAATCCTCCATTCATCTGATAAAAACAAAATTTATGAATTAACAGCTTTTACCTTTTGCTTAAAGGGAGTGACTGGGTATGTAAGGTAGTTGAACTTAGTATGCAGTGTTGTGGAAAACTTCTTTAGGATTCATTTGAGACATATTACACTTTTTATAGATTTGTAAATCCTGAGTTTGAGCGCAAATTCGATGTTCAAAATTCCTACTTAGGGGGTGGATACGTTTTCAGAATTATTTTTTTTTAAATTATTAAATAACGACGACATAAAATATAAAAAAAAATTCTACAGTAAACTAATTGGTTGTTTAGGAACAGGTTGAGGAAATAAAAATTAATCTTTTCATCGAAAATACGTAATCTTGTACATTTATTTGTTTCTATTTTCTCATTATTCAAAGATTTTCCGCAGATTTTCTGGAATTATTATTGAAAAGACGACATTTGAAGAATTTGAAGAAATCTTGTAATAAATTCAAAGAAAATAAGAAATTCAATATAATGATGAAAACGAAATAATTGATTCTAACATTGATTTATCGACAAATTCCTTTTAAGAAATATGTTCCTAACCATCTAATTAGATTACGGTATAATTTATACTTTATTTTTCGTCGTTGTTATTTAAAAATTTAAAAAAACCTATTTTAAAAACGTATCCACCCCCAAAGTAGGAGTTTTGAACGTCGAATTTGCGCTCAAACTCAGGATTTACAGATTTTTAAAAAGTGTAAAATGTCTCAAATGAATCCGAAAGCAGTTTTGCACAACACTCAGTTCAACTACCTTACATAGCCGGTCACACCCTTTAAACCAAAAGAAATAGTTGTATTTAAAACGTGGACCAATTAATAATTTTGACTTTCTTCATTCTTATCGTAAAAATTTAGTTCTTACAAATTCTAAGAGCATTTTGAAGAAACATGACGACAATTTTGTATGAAAAAAGCAACTGTAAAATTTTTAGACGTGCACGAAAATGGCCAAAATTTATTTTCATTCCTAACCTGTGGATTCTGAAGATGTACTCCGGGATACTGTGCAGCCATGAACCCTGTCTGGTAAGGGTTTGAGAAGGCGGAGATGGATCCTGGGTTGAATGCTCCAGGTCCCCCTGGAAACAGTGGGCTGGTGGCTGGGAACGGATTGTTGGGAGAGGTAAACCCATTGAAACCAGGCAGTGGAGCCATGAAGGGAGCATAGTTCTAAATATATTTTAATCTTACAGGGTTTCACTATTCGGGTCAAATTACTTTTTCAATTTCGGAACCATCAGTTTCAGAGTTCTTTTGTGTTCATTCAGAACAATTATGGAAATAATCGATCAAGATACATAAAAAAGCTAGAATGCAATGACAAAAAAAATCAGTGAGCAAGAAGAAAATGAAAGACCTGTTGTAGACCGTTAAAAGGTTGGGTGCCAGGAAACTGGAACCTACTCTGGTTCCGCCGATACATCAGCTCCCTATAAACCAAACCAAATATTAAGGGAAACTTCGCGAAAAATATGTAAGTTTGAATTTTCAAAGGGAATGTTAATAACTTTTGGAACAATCTTGATCAGATTTATCTTTATAGAATACTTTTGAAAAAATCCTNTAAGTTTTAAAGAAATACATTATCATTATTATTATTATTATTAAAAGACAACCCTACATTCAGAGAAATAAGGGTCGGCAGTCATAGCCGCCGAAACGTATCCACTATCCATGAGTCCAGCGGACCGCGGTTCCCTAAGGAGATGCAGGAGACAGTTCCATTTACTAGGCGGTCTTCCCGAAGCAGCTCCATTTCTGGAGCTCCTTACATGAAAACATACGTTTGATACATTTTTTACTTCTGAATCTTTTTGACAGAAATAATGTTATTATACCATTTGCCTCTGTTTTTGCCCAAAAAATTTCACATTTTCAATCTAGGATGAACAAATATTAACATTAGGTTTCCTTATCGCATCTTCAGGTGTTCCAATATGATCTCTTCGAAACTCCACAAGTTCTTCTAACCCTATCGGATACTGAGGAACCACACCGGTGAAAATCTCCTAAACACCATTTATAATTGGAATAATTTGATGAAGTTCTTTATCGGATTAAATAAACCCTTGCTTGGAACCAAGCTAAATGTTTGGTTATTTAAAGTTAGAAAGAAATAAGAAAATAATCACTTAAAAATATTAGAATTGTAAAAATAAAAAAAACCTGTAAAATAATGGCTTCCATTCTTGCGAGCAGACAATCTCGGGCAACTTGTGTTACAGCATCCAGGTTTACAGCAGGTTCACCAGACCTAACAGTATTTAAGTAAATTTAAATATATCAGTATATATAAGTATATTTAAGTATATTTATTAATTAATAGTATTTGTGTATTTATGTACTGTGCTGTGCTGTACTGTACTGTACTGTACTGTACTGTACTGTACTGTGCTGTGCTGTGCTGTGCTGTGCTGTGCTGTGCTGTGCTGTGCTGTGCTGTGCTGAATTAGTTTGCACAAAATGATAATGATTTTTTTTACTTTATTGGATGAAAAAAAACAGGTCTAATTCATATTAGCTTTTAGTAGAAGGAGGGCGTTTGGAATATCTGCCTTCAGGCAACTCCTTAGGTCTGATTTGAATATCTTCAGGGCAGATAACAGTCTCTTTATACTTAGAGGTACCTTAGAGGCTACCCCAGGCGTGATGAATATGCGTATCGATAATATAAGATAGGGGGAGTGCTGATGGGTGGGATTGCCTGGGGCCAAGAACAACCCCAGCGATCTTCTTTAAATAAAATAAATAAACCTTCAGTGATCATTCGAACTGTACTATACTGTATTGTACTACATTGTACTGTCTGTTTTTGTTCAGTCTTTATTATATATATATTATGTACTACAAGGTTGTAAATTACAAGGAAAGTTGATTGCTGTCGCATATACTTTGCGTACATATTGAAACCAGTTCTCTCTGGGCGGAATTTGTAAACAAGAATAGATTTATCAGTGTTCGTTTAGTATCCGAGGTTAACAGCATTAAATTTTGATATTTTTGATAATTCACATAATAGTTTCCAATGACCAGAATATTTCATTGATTTTTTATGTGAAAGATGGATCCCATGTCAGGCTTCGACATCTGTCTTGTGTTTACATTAGCGCCAAGAGACAGAACACTGCAGTACAAAAGATGTGTACACTTCTGAAATAACTTTCCTTGCATTACATCCTTGATGTACCCTAAGTACGATTTGCTAAATACTAATGAGGGGAGTGGGACTACTAACCTTCCAGTTTTTAGTTTCAATATTTCTGGATTTGAATCATCTCTTGCATATCCCATGTCAAAGAACAGCTTCTCAGCACCAGAGAGAACACTCTTGATGTTGTGCATGTAGAACCCATTAAACTGAAAATAGAAATTATCAAAACTTTCTTTAAAAAATGACAGAATTTATGTGAAACATGACATCACAATTTATTCTAGAATGAGGTACACTCAAGGTGGTACACTGAGTGATAGTAGTGTTAACGCATTATATGCGAGTCTTCAATTATGTTGAACTAAACATATTCTAGAATGAGGTACACTCAAAGTGGTACACTGAGTGATGGTAGTGTTAACGCATTATATCCGAGTCGTCAATTATGTTGAACTAAACATATTTCTCTTTTGGCTTAATACGAAACTATCATACTAACACTTAAAAGAAAGTGTTTTATCTCAACAATACAGGGGACCTAAAACTCGACCCATTTCTAACACTGAGTGTTAGAAATGGGCGCAAGATGAAAGGCTAGATTTTTAGGATCCCGGCCAATATTGGGAGTAAAAGTCGATGGTAAAAATTATAACCAACATTTTATTTAACATCGATTTACAAAAATCTAAATTTATTAAAAGTTCTCTTTTATTTAAACCGAAGTTTCCACATTTTTTTTGTTAAATAAGAGAATAAAATTGATTTAATTTCGTGCATTTACAAGCAATTTCCCACATTTCTAGTTAAATCTATAGTTTTCTCAATGCCGTGATGTGTTTTCAATTATCAAAGAAGAACAATATGTTTTTAGTTTCATTTTTTTTATTTTACTTAAACATCTTGTTTTGTGACGTAAGTGCGTAAATGGTTGAAAATTGACATTGATATGAATTATAGTAATTGACTCAGAACCAGCATTTCTTCCAAAACGAAATGGGGCAATTGTTTCAAAATAGGGATATGTTCGAAAATGAAATCAAGTATCAAGAACTAATTCTCATTTGAACTAATTTGAAATGAAATCTGAAAAAGAGGCCCCGTTATGAACCCCCCAGACCTTTTTATTAGTTCAAAGTTGACATTTCTTGTTTTAATAAATAGTTTTAGGCATTTTAAGATGTATGGTGTAGTTTTGTTCCATTCGGCTTGGATTTAAAGATGTATATGCTTGAAAAAGATCATTTTTCAAATTTTTGCCCATTTCTAAAACTCAGTGTTAGAAATGGGCCAAGTGTAAGTTTCTGAACTAATTTCCCCTTCAATATTGTCGCTAGGCTATTTGATATCAATGCTACTTTATAAAATTGATCCTTGATCCTAATGCTTCATGTCAAAATTTACATCAAATTATAAGGTTTAAAGAACAGAGATTGCTATCCAAACAAATTGATTGCCGATACTTTATTGATCCTCTGTATATGTAATTTTGAAAATTCTGTTCTCTAGGGTTGGGTGATTAGATACCAGTCTGATAGTTCTATACTCTGTTCACCAGGGTTGGCTGATTAGATACCTGTCTGATAGTTCTATACTCTGTTCACCAGGGTTGGCTGATTAGATACCTGTCTGATAGTTCTATATTCTGTTCACCAGGGTTGGCTGATTAGATACCTGTCTGATAGTTCTATACTCTGTTCTCCAGGGTTGGCTGATTAGATACCTGTCTGATAGTTCTTTACTCTGTTCTCCAGGGTTGGCTGATTAGATACCTGTCTGATAGTTCTATACTCTGTTCTCCAGGGTTGGCTGATTAGATTAGCTGCATACTGTTCAATGCATTGGAATGCTTCAGCAGCTTTAGTCAGAGAGAACTCAGTAATCCATCTAAATCAATCAATCCTTTATTAATAAGTTGAAAAAACTGTCAACATAGGAAAACGATTTAATCATATGCTTCTATATCAACCACTGAATAATTTTTTGTTATAAATTAATGAAATCCTGATGAAAATTTATTTTTTGAAAATGAAAAATGGGACATCAGCTGGTACTACTTTTATTTTACTTTAATACACAAACATCTTTAAATAAATCTTCAATTCAGCAAAAAAAACCCTCAAGCAAAAATGTCCAATATATAGAGGGTATAACATATTTTTAGGGGGAGGGGGGGGGGTTCATAATCCCTCTGCCTTCCTGGACAAAAATAACTTCCTAGTCCCCAGCATGACATAAATAAATTTGAATAAATTACAAGCTGTCTCACATCATAATGGATCTTTGCTCTATATCGGTATTTTTTAGACACAATATAGAAGAAATTAGATTAAATCAGTTCTAAACCTTGTTTTAAACATTTGCTGGAGAAAAAACAGGGGTCTTTAAAAACTCTGTTTGTATTTGGTGAAAACCCATTCTCATATGACACGCTCTGTAATCATATATACATACAAGCTGAAGGGCCCGGCGTTGCCCGTGGTAAAAAAATTGGAAAAAGAAGAATTTGAAAAAAAACGATTTTTTCATGCCGTTAACACTACCCGGCCACCCATGAGTGTCCACAAAAAATTTCAGCCCAATCGGTCAAGCTGAACGTCTTGTTTTACCTAGGCTGAATTTTTGAAATACTTAAAAACTAGAATTAACAAAAATTGGAAATAGTAGCATATTCAAACTCTTCTCTTTCTGAATAGCAGTCAAAAGTGGCTTTCTCTTTATCAACGATTTGTAGAAATGGGTATATTCCTAGAGAACGATTTTTGGACCCCCCCCCCCTCCTATCAATTTTGTACATGGATCTTACAGAAAGTGTCTGAACTTAAACTGACCCATGGCCGCAGCAATCGGCCCCCTAGCCTGTCCTAGCCGCAGCGCTCAGCCCAGAAAGTCTCTTAACAGGTTTAATTTTCATTTCATAAGGTTTAATTTTCATTTAATAAGGTTTAATTTTCCTTTAATAAGGTTTAATTTTCATTTAATGGCCGCAGCGGTCGGGCCCCTAGCCTGTCCTAGCCGCAGCGCTCGGCCTAGGGAGTGTCTTAATTCCTAACCTAACCCTGTATAATACTAAATAAATACTAATTTGGTCATGTACAAAATTGATAGGAGGAGGGGGGGGGGGGTCCAAAAACCGTTCACTAGGACGGACCCTAGAAATGCCAATACATTTGACATTACTTCGAATTCTAATAATTAAATGTAACGAATTGAAAAAGATCGAAGAGAAATAACATCTTTCAAAAAATAAATACATTTCATAACCTTCGCCACCGTGTCTTCATGTTGTAGATAACGTAGATGAAGTTGATCTATTTCTAGCCAAAGCTCAGCTGTCCGGTCCGCGAAACTCATCGTTAAAATAAAATCATTTCTGGAAAAATATTGCCATTTTGAGTTTATGACTTTTCAACCTAATTGCTGATATAAAAAGCATAGTCTCAGTTTTAATTGACCAAACCTAAATAATTAAGCTTACAATTTTCATGATTTCCATCACTAAATATGTTGAAATATTCGAATATTTACTTCATGTGATAAAAATAACGAGACTGAAATCGAATCAGAATTCAGAATTGGTTTTCCTGACTTATGTTGCTAAATCATCGGGACTACATAGACTAATCAGCTGATCGAAATCTGGAGTAATACTATTTTTTAAAATTCAATTCTTTCTGTTAAAATAACTTTTACGCTTAAAAAAATACTATACTTCGATTTTTTTGTTTCGATTATTTATTTAAGTTTAGTTTAATTCTAAGATTTATAGTTCAGATAATACAGCATCACTGTGTATACTATAAACAGCTGTTTTATTTTATAAACTATCCATCTATCACCTAATAGGTAAAAAAAATTATTAAATACCGATGATATTCATCAAAAAATCACTGTTCTCTGTAAGAAAATTGGTCGGATATCATAGTTTACGATATTATTGTAATATGGAGACTAAAACTGCCGGAATTATTATTATAGGAGACGAAATACTGAAAGGGCAAACTCAGGTTTGGTTTAAACAATTGACAGAAAATGCATATCACAATTGGTTATTCCCCATTAACGCTTGTAATACCATCCCGCCCCCTCCCTCCTGTCATTTTTGTACTTGCGCCCGTCCCTCTAGTCTGTCCTAGCCGCAGAGTTCGGGCCCCCTAGCCTGTCATATTCTCAGCGCTCGGCCCAAAAATTGTCTTAACCGAACTAGCCCTCACAATATAAAAAAAATATACATGTAAAAAATTGATAGGAGGGTCGAAAAATTGGATGTTAAGGAACTACCGACGAATCTTGTTTTTCCCTTATGGTTTGGTATATTTCATATAAATTATATTTAAAGCTATACTTAAAGTTATGCGTTGAACCTTAACCACTAATCTTAGATCAGAGANTTTCGTTCTCAATAACCCTGAGGCAGAAGCCCAAAGGAGTTACGCGCATGCTCTCTATGTCTTGTAATTCAACGCGGCATACGCGTAACTCCTTTGGGCTTCTTCGAGCCCAATTTTTTTTGTGGGATCTCGCATGACCCAAGAGAAGGTTTCTGAATGATTGAAATAAGAAGAATCTGCGGGAGTTGGGAGTCCGTGTAAACAGGATTAGTGTTATCCCAGACGATTTATCGTCCATCAGTGCAGAGGTTCGACAGTTCTCGTCCCAGTTTGATTTCGTCCTCACGTCAGGGGGGATTGGACCTACACATGACGATATCACATTTGAAGGTTTGCACTTTTATTAAATACACTTTTTACAAGATTACGATTAAAATAAGTTTTCCTATCCCTATCAAATCACACATTTTCCGAATTTTTCATGTTACAAATTTTATTTTATAAAATCTAGTTATTCCAATTTAAAAGACATTATTCAAATCTATATTTGCTTCAAAATGCTCATGCACATGTACAATAAAAGAATATTTTTAATTGAAAACGTTTTTGAAATTAAATCAAAATATAAGCTTTACACTTAAGTATAAGAATGACAAAAAAGAAACAAATTTTTAGCAAAAACATAAAACAAATGTAAATTCTTGTCCTAAACTAAGGAAAAACAAATCTTAAGACATCATATAACTATTTATTTAAATAAATAATCATTTATTCTTAAAATTTAATTGTTAATGAACCATTTAGTTGTGAAATGTTTTTAAAATTTAGAATCCTTTTAATATTATTTTCTTATATTTTAGGAGTTGGGAACGCGTTTGACGATAAGCTTATTTTCAACCCTGACCTAGTTGACAAATGTAAAATATGGTTTAAGGTGAAATATCATTCTAAAAATCCCTTGAATTCGGTGTCGTGTATTTATTCTTCCCTTTTGCGATATTCTTAAGTAGCAATGCTAATTCACTTTTTTTAAAATTCAATTTTTACAATTTAGAAGGAATGACATATACGAGATGACTACTTCTTTTCTCCTATATTAATACGTTTATGAATTAATTTGAAATTTATAATATTTTGAAAGATAATTTAATTAATCCCTGTTTTAAACTTTAATATTTAATAAATATTATTTAGAAAGATAATTTAATTGATCCCTGTTTTAAACTTTAATATTTAATAAATATTATTTAGAAAGAAAATTCAAGTCATCTCTGTTTTAAACTTTAATATTTAACAAATTTTATTTATATAGATGATTTAATTGTTGCCTGTTTTAAACTTTAATATTTAATAAATATTATTTAGAAAGATGATTCAATTGATCCCTGTTTAATCTTAAATATCAAATAATAACAATTAATTTAATATTTAATAAATATTATTTATAAAAAATGTAATGATTATGTAGAAAGAAGATTTAAGTGATTCCTGTTTTAAACTTTAAAATATTATAAATTTAGATTGTCTGTCTGTTTGTTTGTATCCAATAAACGTCAAAAAGGCTGAACCAATCGGGCCCAAATTTTTTGTGAGATCTCGCGTGACCCCAGGGATGATCAAAATTTCAAAAATTTGTATTTAAAAGTTTTTTTATTTTTGTAAAATTTTGAAAATGCGCGAAAAAATCTTATGAAATCCGCAAACTTTTTTTTTGGTTTTTGTTTTATACTATACAGAGAGAAAATGCTCACAGAGAAAGCCACAATTTAAAGTTGATAAAGAAGATTGGGGCGTAGCGCCCGTAAAGCCTAGTCTATATAAATTTAGCTTGTTTGTTTGTTCATATCCAATAAACGTCAAAACAGGTGAACCGATCGAGCCCAATTTTTTTTGTGGGATCTCGCATGACCCAAGAGAAGGTTTCTGAATGATTGAAATAAAATAATTGTGTTAATGAATTTTTTGTTTTTGTAAATTTTGAAAATGCGCAAAAAAATATTATGAAATCCGCAAACTTTTTTAATGTTTTTTTTATACTATACAAATAGTTTATGCTCACAGATAAAGCCACAATTAAAAGTTGAAATATAAAAGATGGGCGCGAAGCGCCCTTAAAGCCTAGTATTTAATAGATATTATTTATAAATAAACTTATTATTGTTTAGAAAGATGATTTGAGTGATCCCTGTTTTAAACTAGCATATATTCCTTCTACTTCTAAGCTCAATTACGGATTCGATTATAACACAGGTGATATATAATTAAGGAAAGGAATTGAGCTTTAGCAACAATCTCTGATTTTTAATCCCTATATCTTTGCAACCCAATGTAGTTGACCTCAGATATTTTAAAGTATGAATTCTGTTAGATATAATAATTAAATGTTCGAAATATCGAACGTTTACTCCACCAGGTCACAAAGATATGGGGATTATAAATTCAAGTTAAAGTTTACTTATTTTAAAAAACCTAAGTTTATTTTAGGGAAACCTACTCTGTATCCCTTGGTATCTGTTAATAATGTCTACATTTTTCCAGGTACCCGTAGAGTGTAGACTCGTTAGTTTTGAGGTTTTTGTCTTGTGTCTTGTTTCTTGAGGGTAGAGTGTAGAGTGTAGAGTGTAAAGTGTAGAGTGTAAAGTGTAAAGTGTAGAGTGTAGAGTGTAGAGTGTAGAGTGTAGAGTGTAGAGTGCAGAGTGCAGAGTGCAGAAAGAGTGCAGGGTGCAGAGTGCAGAGTGCAGAGTGCAGAGTGCAGAGTGCAGAGTGCAGAGTGCAGCGTGTAGAGTGCAGCGTGTAGAGTGCGGAGTGTACAGTGTACAGAATACACTGTTTAAAGATGTAGGGTATACGGTTTAGGGTGTAGAGTGTATGTAGAACAAAACAAATTATTCCGTAGCTAAAAATATATTATGAGACACTACCACTAGAATTAATAACCCGGCCATCATGTTTATTTAAATTCGCCCTAGGTATCCCACAGCTGTTAGAGCGCTCATTTCGTAACCTTGGATCAACCCTGTTCAAGGTCAACTTTAAGTTCATCGCAGGAGAAAGCTTTATCCATCAAGACGAGCTTTCTCTCACGAACAGGTGACAGCTTTCTCTTTTTCAAGCTTTCTTGTATTACAACATACATATGTAAACATAAGACCTAGGGTAGATAAGGGGGCAGAAATTAAACAAATATCTATAGTTACAAAATAAAATTGTAATCTCAGTTTTAAGAGCATTTCAAAAGAGACTGTCAACGTGGTTTCTTTATTTTAAGTTTGCCATCATTGATTCACAAACAGTCTCTTTTAAATAAATTTCAGGAGAGAAGATTTATTGGGGTTGTATTTCGCAGCAAAGACGAGCCGAAATATGTGTTATTCCTGTGAAAAACCAAAGAGTTTAACGCCAAATTTTTATACTAATCTAAAGCTAAAATTGTTGTAAAAACGCTGTCACTTTTAAAATAAATGGACACTTAAGAACTCGTGACTAGTCCCGTTACGATAGTTTGAAATAAAAAGTGTTACAGACCAAGCATTAAACTCATGTGTTTAAGGCAGTGATGAGGCTTCATTTCAGCAAAGGAAAGTCTTTGCAACAAATTGAAGTTTCCTAATTCCTACCTGGTGGTGAAAACCTTTTATCCTTGCTTTAAACGTAGACTTTTTAATCCAACAGAAATCATGAGATATCTGTAAGGTCTACGTCATTAAGTTTCAAATATATATAGGGATTAAAAGATCAGTGTTTGTGGTAAACTCATTTCCTTTTTGCGTATACGGATCCGGAACTAGGAAGTCAAAATGTTGCAGATCCTACAGATCCGGATCCTGGTTTAATGGAAGGAAAACGTCGTCTTCAGAACAAGTTTTCATCTGCAGTCTTATTTTGAATTATAATAATTCATCTAGATTGATTCAATAATAAGAATTGAATGATTTTTTTTCCACTTAGATTAATAATAACAGTACAGATAGAACACTTGATGTCGTCTGTTAAAGATTTAGGAGTTTTTCGTTCTCAATAACCCTGAGGCAGAAGCCCAAAGGAGTTACGCGCATGCTCTCTATGTCTTGTAATTCAACGCGGCATACGCGTAACTCCTTTGGGCTTCTGCCTCAGGGTTATTGTGAACGAAAAACTCCTAAATCTTGAAAATACAATATCTAGTGTTCTATATCTGTATTGTTATTAATCTATGGGTTTTCAGCATAAACAAGTTGGTTTCTGAGTTCCCTGAGACAAGTTTTGGATCGTATCCGTCCTTAGTGAATCAGTTCTACAAGACCAGGATATCCTACGAGTGCCCCTCAGAGGTTCAACTTAATCAGATAAGGTTGGTTCATCTCATTATACCAATGATGGAAACTAATAAATGGTGTAAGGACTAAAAGGGTATTTTAAGAGACCGCCCATTTGTAGAGTGACAGGTACGATTCACAACTGTACCCTTTACATCTCTGTCTGAGCAAAGTCGCGATTTTCCTCATCGTTATTCAGATAAGGGGTAAAAGGTACGTTGTGAATTGTAAAAACTATTCTTTAATGGAGGATTACTTTCAGTTGGTTCGTTTTTTGCCTATATTCTCAGTTTAAAAAAAAATTTATTCTATACATTTGCTTTTCTAAAACTTAGTCAAATTTTGACTCTCACAGATGATATATGTAAAAAAGCGACTCAAAACCAAACTTTAACATAATACAGTTTGGAAATCTTGGAAGAATATGTTTTTTTTTCCAAAACGACAACTCATTGCACTTGCCTCAGACTGTAATTTTCAAGTCCTTTAAACTTTCCAAACCTGATGTTGTAGACCATAAATATTTCAAACTATAAATTCTCCTAGATCTAATATTCAGAAGTTTGATCATCACTTTCAGTTATGAATTACGACTGGCTTAAAAAATAAAGTCGAAAATTCACATAAGACTAGTTTTTTCCTCACTTTTTTGTATATTACGTGTTCTGCAAGTTTGAGTTTATGTCGAAAATACATATTTAAGTAAGGATATGACGCAGCATTTTTCTTTTCAAATCATTCAACTTTATTTACTATTCAGTCTAATTTTAGTCGTCATTTACGTCTACATCGAGCATTGTTGTGTTTGTTGTATTTCAAATCTGTGTTCATATTGAGCATCTAATTTTCAGCTCAGTGTTTTGCAGTGTTCATTGTTGAGTTTGCAGTACAGTGTTCTCAGTTCACTGTTCATTCTCACTGTTCGATTCAGATTTAAGATTCAATTCAATGCCATATGTTGAATTTTCGTTGCAGTGGCAAAGTGTCTAGTGTTTAAATCTGTGTTCATATTCAGTATTTTGTTTTTAGTTTAGTGTTCATGTTCATTGTTCATCCAAGTATTAAGTTTTAGTTTAGTGTTGTGTTTAGTGTTCAATTCTGTGTTCATATTCAGTATTTTGTTTTTAGTTTAGTGTTCATGTTCATTGTTCATCTCAGTATTTAGTTTTCAGTTCAGTGTTTTGTAGTGTTCAGTGTTGAGTCTTCGGTTCAGTGTTCACAGTTCACTGTTAAGTGTTCACTTTTCAACTGTGTTTAATTTTCAGTTCAATGTTCAGTGTTTACTATTCACTCTTCAAGTTTGTTTGTCTACAGAGGGTGTCCCAAAAAGACGATCTTTAAGACATTGACATTAAGACACCATGGTTCAATTTTTAAGAAGTTGTACATTTTTTAAATCTTTGGAACATCTCCGATCGATTGATACTAATTAGAGGTGTGTAGCAAACTTCAAACGGTCAATACTTTCTTAATTTTACTGCTATATACCTCTAATTGAAATCAATCGATCGGAAACGTTTCAAAGTGCTTAAAATGTCTAAAAGATCGTTTTTTGGGACACCCTGTATGTTTACAGATTTCGTCCTAAATACCCCTTTTCAGCTTCATAAATATTCCCTATAAATTAGTTTCAGTGTCAAGTTTTTTATTTTAATTTTTTATATTCTTAAATTTTTTAAAAATTACATTCAGTGAGTCATTTAACTTTAATCCCTTGTATTTAGTGAGTATATAAGAACGAGGATGCCCGTGGTTGAGTTTGACAAGGTCCCCCACGAAAACAGCAGGGAAAAGATCAATGAGCTGATGAGCAGGACAGAGGATACAGTGTTCAAGAAGAACCTGGAGCAGGCCTTAGATATCGTGGAGGAGTGCTTCAACAGGTTGGTGAAAGGGACTGACGATGTAATTTCAAGTGATCATTAATTTAAAGACTCACAAGTGACGTGGGAATTTACACATCAATGACAAAAATGAAAATTAATTGCCAGAAAAAAAACAGACGATATTTTCCTCATTGTTTTTCAGATAAGGGATTAAATGGTGACGTTGTGAATTGTGCATGCTACTCTATAAACGGGAGGTCATTTGAAATTACATCAACAGTCCCATTGAAATCCGTCATTTGATTAGATTTAGCATGATCATGGAAATAGACTGGTAAAGGACACCCATTAAACCTGGAACTTCAGGGAAGACTGTACGAAATTATAGACGTTTTTTTCTTAATATTATAGTTCCTTGCTACTTTTCACTTCTTTCTATCTTCGACACAATATTTAAAGTGCTTCAGGTCGTCTTTAAAGTATCATTCTTTATGGGTCAATCTGTACAAAAAAGCATACATGATAAAATGGAAAAGAGATATGTTTAATAAATTTTTATAAATCATAATTTTCATAATATATACATAATTTTCAATTTAATCCTTTAACAACCCGAATACCGTGTTTAGAGTTTCTTGCTTAAATAATTAGTTTGTTTAATACCATAAATTCATATTAATTTCTTTGGTTTTAATTCTGTTTAGATATAATAGTGAAGAGGTGTCTGTTTGCTATAATGGTGGGAAGGATTGTATTGTGATGCTGCATCTTGTACATGCTGTACATCAGGGATACATATTCTCTAACTAGTAATATACACCTTGTACATGCTGTACATCAGGAATATATATCCTCTAACTAGTAATATACACCTTGTACATGCTGTACATCAGGAATATATATCCTCTAACTAGTAATATACACCTTGTACATGCTGTACATCAGGAATACATATCCTCTAACTTGTAATATGCACCTTGTACATGCTGTACTTCAGGGATATATATCCACTAACTAGTATTATTCATCTTGTACATGCTGTACATCAGGGATTTATATCCTCTGACTAGTTTTATACATCTTGTACATATATAATACTAGAGATATATCCTGTAACTACATAGATAGATCATTATCCAACCAGTATCTATACTTGAGAATCAGTATCTGTACTAGAGTAAGCACCCTGAGAAAAGACTAAACTCCTTGTATATACGTGAACAAAACACTTTCCAGGAAAACACAGTTGAAAATGCTCCAAGAAATCAGTCATTGTATACAAAGTATTAATTTTATCCGGGACAAGGGTTTTCCAGGTTAAAAAATGTCGGGTAAATTGTGGAATGCAATTTTATTTTCAGTATATCTCTATTTATTTAGTGGCATGTCCGATTCACAACGGTGACCCTTAAAGTATTTGTCTAATCCAAAATGAAATGAAATTTTCATGCTTTAATCCTGGTTTCCTCAACAACAATGTCATTTCTGCTGCAGATAGAGTGTGATGAAATTATCAGAATCAAACACTTTTAAATCTAAAGACGACGATCTCTTCTAAATTATTAGCAAGTTTTAAGGGTACCATTGTGAATTCTGCAAATAGAATTATAAACACAAAAAGTCCCTCCAAAATGTTTTTGAAAAGTAAAAAATATGCAGAGGAAAAATTTAGCTTATGTCGATTAATTAATTATTTAAAGAATCCCCTATTCTAAATGCCAGGAAATTTTTTTGTATGCATATTGCATAAAGGGATATAAAAATTGAACTGCAATATTAACTGTGTTGTATGAAGGAGGTAGACACCTTTATAACTGAATCCATCCTAAAGTACAAACTAGAGAATAAGACAATCAGTCATCCTATGAAAGCTGCTCTCAAGTAAGTTGTCTTCTGTCCTGGGACCGAATTTAGTGAGTTCGAGCTAGTTCACTGAACTACCTATCGTCGCGCCGGTTCAAATCTTGAATCATCGATTCGAAGTTGAAGATTCATGAGGATTTTAATCGGTTTTTCAGGATTTGCACTAATGGTAGGTAATTCAGCGACCTCTCCTATTCATTACATTCTGCCTGTCCCATATTTAATAATATTTCTGTATAAATTTAGCTTGTCTGTCTGGGTGTTTGTTTGTATCCAATAAACGTCAAAACAGCTGCACCGATCGAGCCCAAATTTTGTGTGGGACCTCACGTGGCCCCAGGGAAGGTTTATGGCCAATCAGACTTTGAATATGTAATCTTAAAATATTTTTATCTTAAATTATTTAATTTTGTAAATTTTTTTTAATGGGCGAAAAAATATGAAATCCGCAAATTAAAAAAAAAAATTATACTCTTAAAAGAGAAGATGCTCACAGATAAAGTCACAATTAAAAGTCGAAAAGAGCCTATTANTATGATTAGGTAATTATTGGTAGAGGACGGTTATCTCTAATATAATTATGATTAGGTAATTATTGGTAGAGGACGGTTATCTCTATTATAATCATGATTAGGCAATTGTTGGAAGAGGACAAGGACGTGAAGGCAACTGTCCTGGGGACAAGGGACGGAGACCCAGGAGCACAATATCAGGTAGAAAACTAGTAGTTTAAAGGGAGTGACTGGCTAGACATGGTAGTTGAGTTGAAAACTGATTTCCCCCCTATTTGAAAAAAAAATTCAGGTTTTTTTTCGCCGAGTTGGGAAAATAAATAATAAATAATTTATAATTATGAAACGGGATGAAAAACTTGCCTTTTGACATGTCAAATTTTTCATTTTTCCCTTCAGAACATCAAACATCATGAATTCATTCTTGAAAATACATACCTCTGCGCAAAGCTTAACTGTGAGTGGATCTGTAATTAAAGCTCTTATCTATGATTTAAATATTCTGATTGTTCTCCAGGATGCATTCTCTCCTACTGATGGAGACTGGCCGAGGATAATGAGAGTCAACCCTATCCTTAAATGGAGATATCAGGTTAATAGTTTAGAAAGGATGAGGTGAAGGGGGGGATATGAGTAAAACGGTCTTGGACATATTAGAATATTATTTGTTTTATTATAGTCTCTAGTGTCATTCATGTAAAATTAGAGTGACAATTGAATCCCAAAAATTATTTCAAAGATGATCTCGAGCTGTATCGTTGGACTCCTTGTATTATAAAAGTTTTTACAAGAGAAAACGGGAGAGGGATCTGGATAATTGTGCCTAGATAGGAGGGGAAACCCCTATCCTTGATTATTAATCAATAATCATATTACAGTATTCATTAAAATATGAAATGAATTTTTATTTCTAAAGTTTTAATCGTATTTTTGTTTAGGATGTTTGGACTTTCCTTCGAGGATTGAGTATTCCTTATCCGTCCTTGTATGATCAAGGGTATACTAGTTTAGGAAACCCGGAGAATACTCAACCCAACCCTGCTCTCAGGTAATTTCAGCCCAAGGATACAGCAGTTTAGGAAACCCGGAGAATACTCAACCCAACCCTGCTCTCAGGTAATTTCAGCCCAAGGATACAGCAGTTTAGGAAACCCGGAGAATACTAAACCCAACCCTGCGCTCAGGTAATTTTAGCCCAAGGATACAGCAGTTTAGGAAACCCGGAGAATACTCAACCCAACCCTGCTCTAGGTTAATTTCAACCCAGGAATACAGAAACTGATAAGAAACTAAGGGATTTAGTAGTATAAGGAAAACGGATAAAATTAAATCCAATCCTGCTCTAAGTTATCTTAAACACTGAGATAAAAAACTTGGTTAATTTTTTCTTTCTAATTACATGTCAATGATTAAAGGCCAGTCACTGCTAGTAGTGTTCTGCATTCTCGTTTGTGTTCATTATATTATTGTACAGGCTTACATTGGTATAACATGCATTGGAAGCTTAAATTTCATAGAGCCATTCTTTTTACTTGATATGCAGGGTACGTGGGGGAGGAAGACAAGTCACAATATTTTCTCGTCCGAGCCACAATCTCCTCATTTTCTCGTCCAACACACCTCAAAATTTTCGTCCTTTCATTAGTTTGTTTTTAAAGTGTTGTTGGGCGAGGTGGCTCGGAAGAGAAAATAAGAAGAATGTGGTTCGGACGAGAATTTGGTGTGGCTGGCCTTCCTCCCCTCAGTGAACAATGTGTAATGAGTAATGTGCTTTCATGAAAATTATTCCATCACTTGTAGGTCCTTTAAAAAAATATATTTTAAATTCCTATTTTTCGCAGGTTTTCTGATGAGAAAGGTCTTGTGAGATATCATCCTGCCTACTTGTTAGAGGACGGATCTTTAGAACGTCAGGGTCGAACCAAGAAATAATATTATGATTATGAAACTAGGATTAAGCTCAGCATATTACACATATTTTGTACGAGAGGACGGATCTTTAGAACGTCAGGGTCGAACCAAGAAGAAGTGATATTGAAACTACTAATTTAGTTCAACTTATTACACATATTTTTGTACTACTTATGTAAATTATGACTTGAAACTAGATAAATAAATAATGTAAGAGACTTTATACATAGACTTATTAATTCAAGATTGTACCTATTGCCCAAAAGTTATTTTCAGATGTCTTCTTACTAAATATTAGAATATAGCATCAAGGATGTCAGTAGTGCTTGAGACCCGGATCCGTTGGAACCGCAACGTTTTGGCTCCCTGGGTCTAAGGAGCGAAATATCAACCATTGCCCCTACTTAATCCTGCCTAGGTTCACATAAGATTGTAGACACAAGCATTAATCTTATTTTAACCCTTGAAAACTTAATCTAATCAGAATGTTGACGATAACGTCGTTTTGACTCGAAAAGTGTCTAATCCTGAAAATTTCTGCAGTATTTCTTATTTATAATTTATAAATAATATGGAGGATATTCTTGCTTTTTAGATTTTTAAAAGTGTTTAATTCTGCTAATTTCTATGTGTTTTCCTGCAGAAGAAATACGCAAATTATTTTTGCAGAGAAACCATAAATAAAAATAAAAGGGTAAAAAACATGCTCCTCCCTTCCCCCTAAAAAATATAGATTTAAAATATTTGTTTAGAAAACAATTAAAATCTTAGCTACAAGTAAAACATGTATACTGTATTATATACTAAACTAAATCTCTCGAGTTTGAAGCAAAATGATGTTGTCTGCAAGTTTATTTGAAAAAGTAATTTTATGACCATTTTTTCTTCATGTTTTTAATGAATTGAGGAGCAGCTTTCTCATTATCCCTCCATCTAGTATCCTGAACAAGAACAAAAATAAATGCTAACAAATAATCACATTTGCGGTGTTTTCTTTCAAGAAATCCACGGAAACATAATTGTATTATGAAGTATTACTGCAACACAGTTTGACTTCAGAAATATTTATTTAAAAATCTGTGAATTCAGTTTTCTTCTATCCATCAATATAGAACATTTTGAATTATGTAAAAAAAAACATTATTTCACAATGCCAACTCCATCTTGAGACAAGAGTTCAGCGTATCAAATTCTCCTTTTTCCCAAGATCAGTGCACATTCATCATCTTTTAATATAGCAAGCTTCAAAGTTGATGGTGGCCACTTCAAACTTTGGTACAACAAGTTAATGTTTAGCATTTTTTGTAAGTACTAGAAATTCAAAGCGCTTCGCGCCCTTCTTTCTAGCCTTAGAGGGCGCTTCGCGCCCATCTTCTAAATTAGTTGTGAAAATGTTCTCTTTGTGTACATCGTAAAACAAAACAAAAATAATTCGCGGATTTTCACAAAAAATTTCGCGGATTTTCAAAATTTTTAAAAATTTAATGACGATCGAATTTTGATGGAGACAAATATTTGAAATTTTGATTATTCATAAACCTTCCCTGGGGTCCCTAGATGTCCCACAAAAAATTTGGGCCCGATCGGTTCAGCCGTTTTGACGTTTATTGGATACAAACAAACAAACAAACAGACAAACAGACAAACAGACAAGCCAAATTTATATATAGAAGCTTATTGTATACTGAATAAAAATGTAAAAAGTACATGTATTTAAGATTTTTTATCCATTTCTGAAATCTTACTTTGCTGCAGTAATACTTGATTATACTGAGCTGAAAACTTTAGAATGTGATATCCTTAATCCCGATCGGTTAATTAATCTGGAGTTTAAAAATAAGAGGAGAAAAAGCATTATTCAATCAGGAGATTAAGAAAAAGAGTGAATCAAGCATTTATCCCGATATCCACCATTCTAATGTTCCCAGCTCTGAGTTGAAAACTTAAGAATGGGATATCCTTAATCCCTATTGGTAAATTAATCTGGAGATTAATAACAAGAGGAGAATAAGCATTATTTAATCTGGAGATTAAGAAAAAGAGGAGATCAAGCATTAATCTCAATATCCACAATTCTAAAGTTTTCAGCTCTGATCATATAGCTCATACAGTCGGATATTATGAATAGCAAGTAGTAGTTGTCAAATCAAATCAAGAAGCCAGGGATTGTCTAACAGCTCCTTAATCTAGTCGTGCTATGCCATCACAATCCCTTCCAGATCAAGGCTTTTCAACCTGACATGGTTTAAGTCAAGACTACATTTTCGTCAATAGTCATGACACCGGTCTGAATTCATTCCGGAAGCGAATTACCACCGTTTTATGCAAGTATTCAAATGCTGAAGGCATGACTGTGAGTTTCCCAGCCGGACATTTTTAAAGAAAGTTGTTTTTTATTAATTACAATTTTATTCGTTATACTCGTCACGACTAGGAAATAAGCACAGGAGAAGTAGGTCGACTAGCCGTACCTAGTTAAACTTCTGTTCGCTATTCATAAATTCCTATCACTGAAGTATATAAGCTAATTCCAACAGAAGTACTATAAAGTTGTTTATGAATAAGATCAAGGTTCGCTTCACTTCAAACAATTTTTCAGTACAAAAAAAAGAAGTAAAAATCGATGTGAAACAGTTTTCCCAAGTACACCGCAGACATCGAAATAATTTATAAAATGTCGTCTTTTTAACTTACCGATAATTAAATGCTGCAGATATTTAGTTTTTTAATTAAATAATTATACGAAGCCCTTTAAAACTGTTCCCGCATATTCAAATTGTAATAGAAGAGTAAAAAAATCGACCTTAACAGATATTAAAGAGTAGTTATTAAGTGACTAATTACCGCTAGGTATGTTGAATGTCCAAGCGGTGAATTGAACGGTGTTCTCCAATGTTTGTTTCCTTCCTTCGTTATCATATCTGTATCTATCTTCATCCATTCTGCATTCTTCACCGCCTCATCAGGATCCTGCTTCAGGGACGGGTGGATAGTAAACTCGCCCCTAGGAATAATATTCATAAATATTTTGATTGTCTGTCTGTTTGTATCTAATAAAAGTCAAAACGGCTAAACTGATAGGGCCCAAATGTGCTGTGGCATCTCACATGACCCCTGGGAAAGGTTTATGGAGGATTGAATTTGAAAAAATGTCGACAAAAACCATTTTTGATAATGCATGAACTTAAAAAGAAAAAATCGCAAAAATTGCAAAGCACGATGAAAAATGGTCACTTGAAAAGAAACATTTAAAAGCAAAAATTGTTCTAGAAAAGCCTAGTATATCAAAATTTTGGGAGGCAGTTCTAACATCCGGATCTGGACGTTAAAATAGATTTTAAGAATCTGTCTTCAAAGAATCAAGTGTCCATCCACATTTAGCAAGGAAATGCCCGAACCTTTAAAACTGTTTTCTAATCAATCATAATTAAAAATTGATAATTTTCACGGTTTCTTTAAAATTGTTAGCAGATTTATTGATCAGGGTCAAGGGATAAAATTACAGAACCTATTTATATACTTGATTGGACAAAGAAAATATCTTCCTCATTTTTACTCAGATAAATAGTTACCTTGGTACCTTTTCAATCGGGAAACAACTCTTTTAATGGAGCCTTGAAGGTATATTTGAACCTCAACATCTCACTAACACTTTTTCTATTTGTCTGTTTAAAAGTTATCCAAAGAGAAGAAAGATATTGGTGTGGACAATATGACTGTGTTGGCGTAACTTTAGGTTACACAACTGACATGTCGTATTCCCAACGGTACCCTTATAAGCTTCGTATGATCAAGAATGAATAAGATATGCTTGTTTTTCTTTTTGACAAAGATTTAAAGGGAATGTAAGGTAGTTGAACTGAGTATGCAGTGTTGTGGAAAACTTCATTCGGACTAATTTCAGACATATTAAACTTTTTAAAAGATCTGTATATCCTGTGCTTGAGCGCAAATTCGATGTTCAAAACTCCTACTTTGGGAGTGGATACGTTTTCAGAATCGGTTTTTTTAAATTACTAAATAACGACGAAGAAAAATAAAGTAAAAATCACACAGTAATCTAAAAAGATGGTTGGGAACATATTTCTCAAAAGAAATTTGTCAATAAATCAATGCTAGAATCAATTATTTCGTTTTTATCATTATATTGAATTTCTAACTTTCTTTGAATTTATTCGCAGATTTCTTTAAATTCTTCAAATGTCGTCTTTTAAATAATAATTCTAGAAAATCTGCAGAAAACCACACGGAAAATAAGGAGCCATTTTTATGACTAAAAATAAATTTAAAATAAATATATTTATTTTAGTTAAAACAGTTAATTTTTATTTTTTCAACCTGTTCCGATACATGAAGTCTGTAGTTTATTGAAGAACTTTTTTATTTTATGTCGTCGTTATTTAATAATTTAAAAAAACTAATTCTGAAAACCCCCAAAGTAGGAGTTTAGAACGTCGAATTTGCGCTCAAACTCAGGATTTCCAGATCTTTAAAAAGTTTAGTATGTCTCAAATGAATCCGAAAGAAGTTTTCCACAACACTGCATACTCAGTTCAATTACCTTACATAGCCGGTCACTCCCTTTAAGGGTGAAGTTGTGAATCGGACTTAGCACTCCATAAATAGAGGATCACTTGAAATTATTTACACAGTCCCTTTTAATTTCCAAAAGCATTCTCAACAGTTAAAGAACTTGTTCATGTAAGGGCTTGACGGAACGATATTTATACAGAATCTCTAGTATAGGCCCTTACTACTCTCTACACTTGCACTACTTACATCCTATTAAGATGATATCCATGACTGTCCGGGTGAAAATCCTCTGGGATTCCGTTAGGAAATGTGATTGGTTTGATGGCGACCATATGTTTAATCTTGAAGAGAATACTGGTTACAGACGGTATATTCGGTAGGAATACACGCTTACTCAGTTCCTCCCGTTCACCCAAACCTAGAGTTTACTCTCAGAACCAGTTTAAACCAAGAAAAAAATCTTTTTCGTAAAAACTCTAAAAATAGTATTTTGTAACAGGCAAAGCTTTAAAATTTTGACCTGAGTTTTCACAGTAAGAAATTAAAACATAAGTTTTATTCTAAAATTAAATATTTCACAAAAGACGACCTTTTCTTTGTTTTAAACTGGTATGACTTAATTAACATATTTATCTTTATAATTTATTTGCAAGGGAGGGGGATTGGATTTGCGATGCTCTCGGGAAAGAAAATAAAAAAATTTGACATCCAAGATAATTTTTCCCAAATCAGCGAAAAAAAATAATTTCTGATATCTGCGCAAAAAAAAATTTTAAGGGGGGGCATTTTAAAGAAAAGATATGCCCCTGTATTTGTAATCAAAACAAAGATATGGAGATTAACTCTAATTAACCTCAAAGAATATAATGTAAAGAATATTATTTGAAATTGTCGGATTTTACGCTTTAATGGGACCATAAACGTTATTTTAAATGACTCCGTTTACAGAATGGAATGACCAATTCACTGTAGGACCCTTAAAAGCTTTTTAAACATTAATTATTTTCAATTGTGACTTGCGGATTTCTGCTTGCAGACGCAATGAAGTTTTTAGTCATAATAGATCTTATAAACGTATAAAGGGTACCCAAATGAATCGGACATGCCTTTTTTAATAAGGACCACTTGAAATTATAACAACAGTCCCTTTAAATTGACTGTTCTTCTTTTTTTGGAAATTAGAAACCCCACCAAGTCATATTTACAACTAAAGTGTTTGATACTTTCTGTCTAAATAGCATACTAAGCATTTTGCATTGCACAATGCAAAGGACAATTTACACAAATAGTTTCAGTCGCGAGAATAATACTAACCTAGCTGACGAGCATAGTCCTTGTTGAACCATGGTTCTCCATGCAAAGGTTTAACCCTAGAGACCATGAGGACTGGGGAGGGGATATCCTGGGGGAGTTTCTCATCACGGTGGGGGTAGTATCTTAAAACTTCGTCGCCGTCATTTATTCTTAAAAGAAAATATTTACTTAATTAATAGCACTGCAAACGTAAATTTTAAGTGTTCCTCTGTTTATAGAGATGTACGCTCGATTAACAACGGTACCCTTTAAACCTTTGCCTGGGCAGGAGACAAATAACGTATTTACATCATTTAACAGTTTTAAGATGGAAAAATAACATAATCTTCCCCTGACTTGTTCAGATAAAGATGTATGGTGTACTGTTGTGAATCTGGCATGCCAGTATTTGAAATAAGGTCGCTTGAAACTATGGAAAGGGGCTGAAAACCTTTCAATTCATGAGTAAAATGTCTTTTGTCTGAGAAACAATGTCAGAAAAATTGAAGATTTTCTTTCTGAAAATTATTGTTTTGCAGCAAATTAAAAATAGAAATTGATAGAATTGATTAAATGAATTATGAGATCTTTCTTGTTGTTATCCAGATAATCGTTAAATGAGTACCATTGTAAATCATACATGCCATTCTACAATACAAATGTTGGGTGGGTAGAAATTACGTCTACACTTTACGATCCTTTAAAGCTACAGAAAAATAAAAGATATATAGAACTAAGTGGAAAATACACAATAACCAGTAAGTACTATCGAACACAGTAAATATTATACAATGTGCAACACAAAGCGCGTGAATTGTTAAAAACATTTTTCCCTAGAAATCATGAAAAAAGAACTAGGTTTTCTTATTTTGTAGTTTTTTCTAATCTTTGTCGCGGTTTCACAACTTGAATCCATAATTTGAGAATAATCACCAACATAATGATTCTTGTTTTTAAGATCTTCAGGGCAACTACAAGGGTTAATCAATATATGTATTGTATATATATCATATATACAATATATTACAGAAGTTTTAATAATTTGGGGAAATGTAGGATGATTTTTAAATTTGTAGTCAAAAATTATTTCAATCCATACAACATTATTTTAAAGTATCAAAAAAAATTTGCTTGTAATTAATTGATTTAGATTTGAATTTATGACTTAGATTTGGCCCAGAAGTAAATCATAGTTTGCAACTTTTCTCTTCAGAGATTTTAGTTTAAAAAAATAAAGAATTTATGGTCGAATATTAAAGTTTTATTTACATTCTAAGAAAATTATACAAATTTATTTTCCCCATCCTCCGCTATGGCTTCCAGATTGAGATTGTGCCAGGGATAGAGAACCACTGCCACCAAATCCACCAAATCCACCACCAATACTTCCTGCCAATGCCTGAGACTGTGATTGGGAACCAGAACCACCAAATCCTCCAATTCCGCCACTACCAGCTTGTGCTTGAGCTTGGGACTGTGAAAGAGAACCACCAAATCCGCCTCCACCAAAACCTCCACTGCCTGCACTTGCACCTGCAGATGACCCTGCATGGGATCCGCCGAAGCCACCAAATGGAGATCCCCACTGGGCCAGAGGTGCACAATGGGATAAACGGATAACAGCAATTAATAGAACAACAATTATTAGCTTGTACATCCTAAAAATAAATTCCATTAATCATATGGAAAAAAAACTAAAGGGTAGATCCTTATCTTGAATATTTTGTCTGGGATTTTTGTGGGGATACAGAGCCTCAGAGGCAAATATTTAAGTACCTTTTAAAGTGAAAATTTTTTTGGGTATTATTCTAAAGCAACTCACAAAAACAACCTTTGATTTGAAGAAAAATTTATAAATATAAATTCTTAATTCTACCTGAATTAGATCTAGTATCTAAGAAGAAATATATAAACTGATAGCCATTGTTCTTGCCGCGCAATTTATATAGATGATAACTGCGATAGTATGGCTGGGTTAGGGTTGAGGGAGAGTGGGGGGGGGGGGGGGGGGGGGGGAGGGAGAGAAGTCCAGGTGTAGTGATTTTGAAGAGAGCATGTTATAAAGGAATTCTGAACCCTAAAAAATTGAGGCCCCTACCTAAAGTCTTCTGATACTCATAGAGGTGTGGGGTACCCTATCCCCCCACCCCTAATCCTCAACTGAGCAAATTCGAAAAGTCTAATTTTTAAACTCATTTTACAATAAAAAATAAAATTGAGCTTCAATATTTAAGAAATCTTTTTTTTCGAATAAAAAACAGCATTTCTTTATCTTCACTACTCAATCAAGGCTGTATTCATATATTTATCAGTTTCTTTTCACTACATTTAACACAATAAATTGCATTCTATATTATTAATGAAGAAGCTGGAAAATAGTTTTGGCGCTTATTTTAAACTTAAAAGCGTGCAACGTTTAGGGTATTAAGTACTTAATATATTTTTGTTGCTTTATGGCTGATTTATTTGTAGGAAAATTTAATTTTTTTAAGTAAAAATTTGGTAAATTTTCTATACAAAATCTTTGCAACCGAATCTTTTACAATACACATTTAGAAATAACAAAAATGAAAAAAATGAGAAGTTTTAGGATAAAAACTAACTATAAATCATTTTCCATCTTCTGTAACTGTAAAAGCTTCCAATTAATTTCCTTTAGTAAGATACTATGCTACATTTTAAAATACAATAAACATATTCCACAAAAATCTAAAAAAGGCAATAAATTGATTCTCAAGGTTTGAATTTTACACTTGGTATAAAATTTGACAAGTCCATGACTTGAAGTACAGTATTGTTTCTGTATTTCATTATATGTCTTCAACTAGTCCTTTTCCACATGCTTTCTTAACATAATGATACATTTACTGCACACTTGACCATATACAAATGAAAAATTTAATTTCCAGTAAAATCAAAATTTATTTGAATTTAACTAAATGTACAAAACTATTTTCCCCATCCACCAGATTGTGACTGGGCCTGTGACTGTGAAAAGGATCCACCAAATCCACCAAATCCACCAAATCCACCTGATCCAGCTTGTGCCTGAGACTGAGAGAATCCTCCACCAAATCCACCAAATCCACCAGATCCAGCAGATGCAGAGGAAAATGCACCTGAGCCACCAAATCCAGGCAGACCAAATCCACCTGATCCAGCAGATGCGAAAGCAGATGAGCCACCAAAACCAAACTGCGCAGTTGGTGCAGAATGGGACAAACGTAGAACAGCGAATAAAAGGCAGACTTTCATGAACAACATTCTAAACAGAATTAATTCATTAACACATTGCAACATAATCTAAACTGAATCCTAAAATATGATTGTTAGCCCCCTTTTCATTTTTAAACTACTGGCCAATAAGGGCCATGGCCATTTATCTAATATTTTTACGGGTTAAATTTGTGTAATTTTATGTCTTTGAATTTGTTGAACAAAATTTAAATAATAAATAACCAAGAAATCTTATTAAAAATAATGCATATTTGTGTAAAAGATAAAAAAATCTACACTGGCTCCCAATAAAATATCGAATACAGAGCTAATAAAGGTGATACTTGACAGCTGTGCAACAGTGCAATGTGTAACTTTTAAACGATCAAAAAAAGCAACAAAAATATCCATTTTACAAGAAATGAATGTCTTGATTTAATCTGGCGACCAATCCAATTGGAATTGTTTTCTAAATTTTTATTTGAACAGTTGAATTTCTAAACAAAAATTAGATATTTTTGTGGATTCTTGGAAGAATAAAAGTTGGTTATACCTGAACTACGCGTTAGTTTATCTACGTGTTGGAAGAAGTGAATGAACTGACTGTATGGTTGGATACTGCGCCGTAATTTATATAGCTGCCTGGTCAGCTTGTTCAAGGGATAATATAACCGACATACAAGGGATTAAATTCCCGCCGTTTAGCAGAGGGGTAGGATGGGCGCCACGGGGTGGGGGGGGGCGAGGATAGGAGCCGGGTGGTGATAGCATGTGAAGGAAGGGATGGGGGGAAGAGTTGGGAAGGGGGGGGGGAGTTTAAAGAAAGGTCTAAGTGAACCTGTTTTGCTAATTTACATTTTGAATAATAAATAGATTTGAAAAATAATAAAGTTTTGATGATTTAAAAAAAAACACATATATTACCATGAATACTGCTGATCTGGTTTAAGATTAAAGAAAAACATTAATTACCAGGAATACTGCTGATCTGGTTTAAGATTAAAGAAAAAACTATTAATGTTTTGTTTAGATTTTTCGATCTTTCTTTGACGTTAGAAGATTTTATTGTCAACTAAATCTTACACATTATTTGATCAATAAATACATTTTAACCTTGTACTCATATCTTAATATATCCTGTACAATATTCACTCTATTATAAACTGTATAATATTGTATAACATACACTTCATTCTTTGTTGAATAACTGTTTTACATGATAAGATAAGAAAAAGATCATGAAAGATCCCCAATGTGGGAACCCCAATATAGGATACAATAACTTACTTCGATCCTTTATAGTTGACCATATACTGCTTGGCACGCTTTAGATCTTCAGTTTTAGGATCCATAGTTAGGGGTTCCTGGATCCCGGCTCCTAAACGCCATCTGTGATCCTCAGGATTCCTGAATACAAGAGAAGTGTAAGAAATAAGGTTATAGGTTGGTTATCTTGTTTAACAGAAGATGCATAAAGACGTAGTTCAAGTGACCCTTCATCTACTGTCCGATTTACTTTAAAGCTTTGGCTGATAACTGATGAATGAGATATCCATTTTAATTTTTAAACATGGTTAATTTCAATTGTGGATTCTCCGTAAAAGTGATAATTAATTAGAGGGTCATTTGAAATAACAATGATATTCCCTTGAAAACAATTTAGTTACTTTATTATTTAACTACATCCAGGGGCGCTAAAAGAATATAATCGGG